ATTTTAAACACAAATATTACACTTCTTTTAACAATTTGGCGGCACGATGTTGAAACTAGATATGGACGATAGTGCTTACTTTTCATACGATAGTACCGGTGCGATTGTTTTGTCAACGATTGTATCTAGTTTCGATACATTAATTTGAAAATGTGCGCGCAAAATCTAATCGCATGAATAGAAAAGGGAAAACCTACTAAATTAAAAAACTAATTTCTATATCTAAATTGACGGAAATTCTGTGTCTCTGCACTCTTTTAAGATTGTCTAGGCAGACCAAATTGCGTATGAAAATCTCCAGCCACCTCAGCATTGTCGTAAAGCTAGTGGTAGATAATAAATGTGTAAAGTTTATTACAAATGTAACAAAGCGCGTATTTTGTATGCAATTTATTATAAAAAAATTTAATTATTCCCAAGTATTTAAATATTTGTTCCAATGTGTCGATATATCGATAATAGAAAATCCATGCATTCCATATGGCGCCGCTGCCAACTTGCTGCACTTTGAACCGGGTTGGCAGCGCAACAGGTAGGTTGTTTATTAACATATTTAAATGTTTATTTAGCAAATAGAAAGCTAACCGGCATAAATTCCTACTATTTCGTTCACCCGTTCTGCAGCGAGTGACGATAATAACGCATTTTAGAGGCCATCCACCTAGCTTCATACACAAAGGCACTCCGAGATGAACAAATCCAAAATGCGATTGACGTGGCAGCGAGAGCAGATTAATAATCTATTACTGACATTTGCTCTGATTTGTTGTTGTTGCTGTCTGATCAACGTTGTCTCGGCTCAAGAGGCCCAACAGCCATGGTATGAGAATCTGCCAGCAGTGGCCATGGACTACAAAGTGAGGGAGCACGCAGCATCCATAAGGAGTCTGAACAGCTGAAGATAAATGTTTTATCCCTTGCAGGTCCACATAGACGCTGGCAAGGAGGATTGCTATCACCAGTACGTGCAGGCGGGAGCCACTTTCTATGTCTCCTTCAGTGTAAGTCGACAGATAGACTCCAGTTCTCTTTGATTCTCATAATTATGTTCCCCAGGTGGTGCGTGGCGGCGATGGCATGGCCGGTTTCGCGGTACGCAATCCAGCCAATGAGGTAGTGAAGCCCTACCAGTGGCAGGCCACGGCGGACTACACCGACCAGGTCTCGCCCGGCGGCTACTATTCCGTCTGCATCGACAACCAGTTCTCGCGGTTCGCTGGAAAGCTGGTGAACATCTACATCACGGTGGTGAAGTACGATGCTTGGGACAAATACGCCAAAGAGATTGAGCAGCTGCAGCTGAACATGCAAAACTTTACAGTAAGCGGAAACTGGTTTTGCCCCACCCAAAAACCAAAACTGAAACTGATCTATTTTGTACATTTAGACCACCATCGGTACTGTGGAGCGCAACATCAACGACATGTTGGGTTACCAGGCGCATAGCCGCCATCGCGAGGCACGCGACTATGCTTTGCTCTTGGATAACAACACCTACATACAGACTTTCTCGCTCAGCCAAATTGTGGTCATATTGATCACATGCTCCATCCAGGTGGGTTAAAATTTATATGTATAGATTCCTTATAATTTCCCTGCCCTTTTCCAGGTCTTCTTTGTGCGCAAATTGTTTGATGTGAAATCGAATTCAAAGAGTCGCATTTAGAGATGCTCGAACAAGGACTTAGCAATTTCTTTTTATACCTTCCCATCCGCACATTTCCAAGACATTCATTCAAGCGAATGTAGGCTGAATCCCTATACATTTTTTGTAATTAATTTTATCACTGGCTAAACAGAACAAGTGCAAAAGTATGCAGACTTTTAACGAATATATATTTATGTGCAACTCTGAAACTACTTAAGTTGTGTCTTGCGAGTTACATACTTTATTATACAACAAAAACTTATTGTGATAAGTGTAAATGAGTGTGTGTTTTGTTCAATAAAAATATTGAATAATTTTGTACTTAATTTGAAGTTTTCATTTGAGGAAAGTCTTTTATTATCCGAATTTTATTTGATTTTGGGAAAGCTGTCTCAGCTTAGGAGGAAGCTCTGTAAGGACATGCTAGAACTTTTAAAAGCTCATTTGACCGTTTACTTTCGAATGCATTTGAAAGCTTTTATTAGTTTTATAGAAATTCAAGATGATGTTAATCACATTCTCTGCAATCTCTAGTGTGGGCAGTCTTTAGTTTCATAGCAGCCAGCTTTGAATTGAATATCAATTAGCTCTCAGGTTTCTGGCACACAGTAAATTTCATAGCAACCAGTTCTAAGTGTCTTGTCAACTACTTATCTATATTGGATCTGAATATCATCTAGCTTTAAATATAATATAATATAAATTATGGAAACGACTTTTGAAGTAATAAAAAAGTGAAAGTCACAGCCAAACCGTTCGAACGACTTTCTGCCACTGCCACTTTCTGCCCTGCCACAGAGCTCATTAGCTGAATCTATGATTTGTAAACATTTTACTTTTGCTGCTAGCCTAATTATGAGCTGGCAAAATGAATCCCCACTCAGACCCATTTCATGCTTAGGCTTATCACTGGGTTATTATCCCCGCCTCGACACAGTACCTTAAATCATGTGTCACCGTTCGGGGCTGAGCGCTTATCTATAAGTCATTTAAGTGCCACTGCATGTGTGTATGTTTGGGGCATGTGGCATGTTAATTATATCCTTTTTGGCATGGCGCATCTCGAGATCTTGGGGCGTCTTTTGTGGCCACTTTGGCTTGAAATTAAAATGGTTTTATGTGTGCGGCGGGGAGAGCTTATCGCCAGTGCTGGGGCCTTAAAGTCCTTGCAAAACTAGAAGCCTAATGGCCTCACACACTAGTACACTCTACACACACACATAGATAAGAGTAGCGTGTGTGTTAGTGCTGGCTCTTTAACTGTTTTAAACGCCATTGTTAAAATATTGCTCATACGCACTTCCGCCCAAAATGGGGTCTCTTCGCCAGCACTAATGATGCTGCCACAGTGCTGCCCAAGAACATAGAGAAGAGCACTGCCATGGAGCATCCACGGCGGCACAGTTTTGGCTCCGCCCACCACGCAGCAGCAGCAGCAGTAGAGTCGAAGCAGAGACAGAAAGCAGAAGCAGCAGCAGCAGCAGCAGCCGATGACAGCGTCAGATAAAAGGGCAAAGCAGGAGGGAAGGAGGGAAGGAGGAGCGCGCGTGCGCATCAACCACCGCAAAAGAATGAACGATGGGGTGACATCCTTGCTGGCAGCGTCGCGGTTGCTGATTACACACAGCTCCAAAAATATAATAATGATTGTGGGAGGAGTGTGTGTTCGAGTCCCCGTCTCTCTGTCCTCTGTCCGTGTCGCCATCTTTGAACGTTCCAACGCTGTTTTGTTTCGGACGGGATGATCTGCCCGAAGACCGGGCCACATTAACTTCGAGTGCGCGTTACCGTGCAACACGTCGCGGACGACATAATAACGGTATTTTGCGGTTAAGATTCGTCGGTCACACGTCGTCAATATCATCCACATCCACAGGAAACTCAAAGCAAACGAAACCTTTACTTGGCCAAGTGGGCAGGCAGCACACAAGAAAAATACTAAGGGACAAAAAGAAAAGGGCCAAGAAGGAAACCCACATACGGACACATACGCCCAGCTTGTTGCTGGCTGTGGGCGTGGCAACTGCAACTGCAACTCACATGTGTCCTCCTCCTCCTTCAGCTCCTGCTCCTGCTGCTCCTCCGTGTGTGTCGCGGATATTTTTGTGCGGAAATTATAGAAATTTCGCTTTTTGATTTCATTTTCGTTCCGTTTTCGTTGGCGACGACACCCCTCCGACTGCTGTCCCCTGTTCTTGCCACCTGTGCGAAAGGCACATCGAGGAATGCCCAGGTAACGCGTTGTTCGTCCTTCGTCCGGCTGCCTTCGCTGCCTGTGCCGTCGGTGTCCAGTCTGCCTCGTCCTTGCCCTGACAAATTTCCTTGCATATCCGCTACAAAACTACTACGAGGACACATCAAACAGCAAACAAACAAAACCTTTAGTCGCGCGGCGCGTCGCTGTCGCGTTCACTTGTCGCATATCCGTCGCCATTTCTGACAATAATTTCACTTCCGCTCTGCAATTTGTACGCACTTGATTTGAGTGATTAACTGCACAAACCGATTGAGTTCGCCACTAGTAACGGTAACGATAACGAAGTGAAGTGTTAACGATCGAAACGATTACCAAAAGTTCTTCGAGTTTAGCGGAAAGCGGAGTAGCCAACTTTTTGGATAAACTCTAACAGAGACAACAGCCATAATCCTGAGGTGAGTTTGGGTAGGGAAATGTGTTTGTAATTATCATAAATTTAAGAGATTGGAAGTTTAATCTATTGGATATTCCGATGAATATATCTGCTGCATGATTTCAACAAGGAAATAAGGTCTTCCACAATGTAAAACTTTGACAAGGCTCAAATGATTTATGAGGGGCATTGCAAGACATTTGGAGGTGGAACGAACTAAATTATCAAATGAAATTAGATGCTGAAACAAGAACGACATATCTTGTATTGATTGGAGACTGGTAGAACGAACTAAGGAACGAAAGAACTTCCTAGCCGATCAACTCAGTTGCAAAACTACTGAAAACTATCGATTTTTAATGTCTAAAACTCCCTTTGTCAATGTATTTCCATTTGCCAAATATGTTTGTATGATCAGATCAATAAACCTTTTCAAAATCAATTACATTGTTAACCCACTGAAGAGTTTACTAACTAAATCTTTATGTATGCTGCAGCGTTCTGCTCTCAAAATTGCATTTACTAATTCCCCAATAAGCAAACAGTGTCTCCCCACAAAACCTTCTATCATCCGTGTGCACTGCTAATCAAATTAGCAAAACATACAACGGATATATTCATAAGCCAGCAAACAAATCAAAGCAGCGGCGGCAGCAACATCAACATCAACATCATCTGCTCAACAATTAAACAGCTCGCTCGTCGCATTATGCAGCGAGCAGATAAAGCATTCAAAAATCTAAAAAATATGTGCTGCAAATGAACAATCCAACCAGAGAGTGGCAGTGAAATCTTTGCAATCTAACAAACCATTAATGAGGATGCAAGCGTGTGGCCTCTTAATTAAAAGATCTCTCTCTCTCTCTCTATCGTGTTACAAGGGGATTAAACCATTAACAGATGCTCGCTGGCAAACTGTATTCAAAACCGAAGTATAACTTACGGCAGCCGCCGCGGCAATCATTCCACTCCACACGCGTCAGAGAGCGGTACGAGCATTCAGGCCATCGCCATCGCCATCTCCAGGCCGACATCCTGGCATCCCGCTCGTATTTCCGGTGTGCGCGCGCTCGATGCGATTGTGATAGCTACGCACACAAAAAAGATGTCTGCCCGCTAATGTTTGTTTGGGGAAATTTGCTTACAAGAAGAGCCGTACCCGATTCCAAGCGCAAGCCCAAGTGAACACAACAGAAATACAATAAATAATAAATGAGGCGTGTGCAGACCGTTTATAATGTCTGACAAGGCAAAAGTTGATGATTTTGTGTACGAGATGCAACCGTCAGATAATGAAATTTATTCACGTTGATGCCTGAAACTCTGTCTCTGATGCTGCCCAAGTTAAAGCCATTTTGTTTTCGCTTTTGGGGGAAACTTTAAACCAGTGGAGACAGTGTGTGGCATAAATTTCGTTGGCATAAATCAAAATTCAGCAACTTCCGACGAGGGCAGAGTGCAAAAATTTGCATGCCCTGTGCCAGTGCCTGTGCTTGGGGCTAACTGCAGACTGGCCAAAAAGGACCAGCTAACAATGGTCTGCACTCCCTCCTCTGCCATTCTGCCACTCCGCCACTCTCTGGACATTAGAAATGCACGCTCAAATGGCTGCCACCCACGCACAGCACGGCGCAGCACTCATACGCAACGTTGGCCCAGTCCAAAAGAGCGGGACTGTACTCCCCGTACTCGTACTCGTACTCGTACACACAATAAATAACAAGGCAGATAATTATGCACGTTGTGTTTATATCTAAGGGAGCTCCACTTGTACGCCAGGCACTATTAATTATGCTTGGAAAAAGAGCGTGAGGGAAGAGCTGGAGACCAAAACGTGTTGGAGCCTTGGCAATTAGAGCGATTGTTTGGCCCCAAAAGGCCTCTTCAAATTGCAGTCTTTAATTGTGGGGCCAGGCGTTATGATTTATGAATATCTTTCCGTAGTTGTGTAGCTTTGCTATGAGGTGAGTGCGGGGTTTAATATTTAGGAGTACTCTCCAGTAATTGCAATACAATTTTCTTTATAAATCCATGAAAAATACACACTTTAACCTTAATGCTAAACAACTCCAATAATTACTTTGGTTTCCCCTACTTCTTTTAGAGTCAAGTGGAATCCATTGTTTAGCCAACAGCCAGCCATTGAGGCTTCTCAGGCTTGCGCCATGTACGAGAATTCGTGTTCGTATCAAACGGCGCTGGACCTGAAGCGTGTCTCGCCGCCGACACTGGCCCAGGTGAAGACCGAGGATTGCCTGACGCTGGGGCAGTGCTCTCCGGACTGGACCTCGTACCGCTTCCATCAGTCCACCTTTGAGCAGCTGAAGCAGAGCGTAGAGAAGGCCAAGGCGGCGCTGCAGGATCGCAGCAGTTTCTTCGGTGCCACCAGCGCTTTCAGGTGAGTAATTTCATACTTAAGGACGAAATTCAGCACTGAAGATCTTTCCAATCCACAGTGACATTTACTCCAGCCAGCGTTTGACAGACAGCCTCGACACCCTGCCCGTACAGACTGCAAATGGGGCTGGCAATTGCCTGGGTTTGCCGCACAATCACGGCCCTGGTGTTGGTGTTGGTGTTGGTGTCGGAGTAGGCGTTGGTGTAGGCGTGGCCGGCGTACTCAACTACAATGCGGTGAGCAGCAGCACGGTCGGGGTGAGCAGCAGCGTGCAGCGCCATCGTCTGGATACGCTGCAGCCACCCGCTGGCTGTTCACCCGCCGGCACACAGCATGGCGTCATCACGTCCAGCGCTGGCCAGGTCACATCCGGCACTTTGGATGCGGTTAGTGCGGCACCGGCACTGTCATCGCTGACGTCCTCCAGCACATCCCATGTGGAGCACAAAGTTCGAGCAGGTAAGCCGATTTTCCACCGAGGATCAGCACTGGGAACCTTCCCCTACAGACCACCCATCCACCCAGCAACCCACTGACCTTCTCGCAATTGTCTAGCACGAAAAATGTCAACGAAATGGCGGAAAAACAAATCCTGCGCTTCCGGTCAAAGGGAAAACGGATCCCAAAAGTGGCAAAGGGGCGAAAAAGAATTGCCGAAAATGTTGTGTGCCACAAAAGTGGCAAATTTCGCGTATTTATTTAAACACATCCAAACAGCATATGTGCCAGGTCCACCTCCACACCGTTACTCCTCCTCCCGCACCGCCTTCGCTGCTGCTAGTTCAGGGCAACGAATATGTCCGAGCCCCGTTACATTTAATGGCCAAAACAATGGCCCAAAAACCGCGACCAGCCATGTACATAATTTCGCTTGTTCTACCAACAACTGGAAAAACGAAAAACGAAAAAAAAAAAAAAGGGAAAAGATATTCCACAAAAAATTTAAATTGAATTATCCATATAAACGTTGAGGTCTCTTTGGGGTCTTTCTCGCTGACTCGCTTCTATTCTCGGGTTAACTTTTTTTACTTGTTTTCGGTTACATATTTATCAATTTAAGCCGGCCCGGCGGATGTGGCTTATAATGTGGCCCTTGGTCGCTGGCTGTTGGAACGCAACGGTCCGCGGGACCGGCTTTTGATAGAACCATCAAAACTGAACAATTTCATCGCGTGCCTGGCAAGAGTTTGTTACGTCCTGCAAGTCCCCAGTCAAGCGCTATGTCCATGTCCATTTATTTCTATAAGAAAGTTTCTTTTTTGGCAAATTTATGCCCCAACTCTGGGCTCTTGTTCGGTTTCTGTTTCAATTAGACAAGACCGACACAAGGCCTTCGCCGACTTGTCAGTGGTTCTTTGGTGGAGTTACACGTTTCATTTACATTTTATGGCCAAAACTTTAAGATAATTTACCCTTTTTATTATGTGGAAATAATCTCCTGACTTTTCTCAACGCAAATGGAAGACACAACATGGCTGCCAGCTCATGTTCCTCTCGTCTCATGCCCGAAGCGCTCAAGCAAATATGAAATGAATCCTTTCCTCACTCTTTGTGCTCGTGTCTCCCTGTCGCCCTTTCAAAGGGGAGCTCTGGCTGTGGCTCTGCTGCTGTCAACTGTAGCTGAGTTTTTGCTGCTGCTTGCTTTTGGCATGAAAAGATTTTGTCATGCGTAACTCATTATTTTTTGTGCTGTACAGCAAAGACGTTTGGCTCACAAAAGCGCATAAAAAATAATTACACTTGCCAGCCAACTCAAGGCAAAGATATAAGTAGAAATATATAGAAGATTGTCCAACAATTAGATATGATAAACGTTAGATAGATATTTGTGTGCCATTGTGGGCAGAGTTCTTTTATTTGGAGTTCCCTTTAAACTTCTTTGGATTAGTTTCTGGAGAATATATTCTTAAAGAGGAAAACAAAAACAAATAATTATTTTATGTAGAAATTACATGGAAAGATCGATCACTTTTCAAAGGTACTGCTTTAACCATAAGTAACAAACATTTCTGCAGTTTCTTACCTTTTTTATGTGTAAATGTTCGAGCTCTACAGAATGGGCTATATTTTCCATGGAAATTGAGCTTAAAGATGCATTTCCCTGACTACTTTCCACTGTCATAATGTGAGAAGTTGTGCCATTAAAAGCACATTTTGAGCAAGTTTGCAATAGTCAGAGTTTGAGTTACTTAAAGTTCAGTTTAACGTGAGATCTACTACCATTTCAGAGGATACATTCTCCCTCCTCCCTCTCTGAGGCAGCAATTATGACACAGTACGTTGACAGAGCCGACAGCTCTCATGGGAGAACATCATACTCTCATCATCTTCATGGCTATCATTATCATAGACTCGTATCACATCCGGCTTGACATTTCAATTGAAAGCGTTGCAAATTTCTCTTGGTTTTGCTTCTCTTTTTTTTCTGGCTTATTGTTGTTTACATCAAACAAAGATTTACGGCAATTAAACAACTCTCCATTGGCTGGCGACTGGTCTGTGAAGTGACAACCCTCGCGATTATATCCTTTGCGGTTCACAGGATCTGTCAGCGAGTCAAATGGAAAGGGAGAGGGTGAGGGCGAGGGTGGGTGCGCTGGTTCGTTCCGAGCGACGTTGCGTGACGCTGAAGCACCACCCATGTTGTTCCTGTACTGGTGGGGACGAAGGACATGGAAGCAATGGAAAACCATAATTCGGGCAATAAATAAACCAGTCGCTAGTTTCTGATGACAATTATCTATGCCGAGATTTATGATTTTTGTTCCCAGCTTTCAGCATTTTCACTTTTTTTTCCATTCACTTCCGTAGCAAAAGGCGAAGCGTGCCGCGCTGAGTGTGCAAATTTCTGTATTTGCTGCCTGGCAATTAAAGTATCCTTTTGTTTGCTTCTTCTACGCTACTTGCAGATAAATCCTCGCTGGACTGCTCCACAACATCCTCGCACGCCGCTGTGCCCTCGTCCTCGTCCGCCTCCAGTGAACAGCATCAGCAGCAGCAGCAACAACAACAGCAGCAACAACAACAGCAGCAGCAGCAGGGCAGGCACAGCGGAAGTAAGAGCAGCAGCAGCAGCGCCAGCGGAGCTGCAGGCGGAGGTGGAGGTGGAGTCGGAGCATCAGGAGCTGGCAGCTCGGCACTGTGTAAGTTGCAACTTTGTGATTATGTCAGAAATGTGTCCTTTGAGCTTTTCTGACAGCTTTCAGTCAGGACAGCAACCTGAAGTCCCATTGTTCACACTGAAGAGGGCGCTGTTGTGCTCTGCGGAGGTGGCAGAGCTGGCATGTCCTTGGTTTCCAGGGGGTTGCTTTGGGAAAAAAGTGTTCAGTGTGTGTCAGGGAATAGCCTTGTACAAGAAGTCGGGGGAACTTTATGAAGGGTTCTTTGACATATTTTGGCATATTTTCATGGAAGGACTCTCAAAGGGAATTCTCTGATCAACGTTTCATAAAGATTGAAGCTTTGCTCTCTACAAAATCATCTAATTCTAAGCATAATGATGTCGTATCAGCACTTGAAACTTATCTCACGTATTTGGAAGAGTTTCCTGCTCCCTCCGATCTAACTGCAAGTCCCTGGGAATCCCTGAGAATTGATAACTCAATTGCTCACTTGACTTAATGCCTTAAGCCTGACTAATGCGCGTAATCTGGGCCATGAGCCATGAGCACTGGTCCCTCTGGGAACTGCAGTTGAGAGCTATTGACAGTGGGAAAGTTGGCAAACAAAAGGCGGCACAACCTTCTGTTAATGTTCATTGTTCCCTGGTCCACTGTAAACATACAAAACGCAACAGTCACAACATTCCCGCTCGCAGACAGAGAACAGTGAGGCAGCGGCCTCACGCTCTGTCTGTTGTGTCTGTGATGCGACTGCCCCCGTTGAAAATTTGACTCTTAAGTGCTCTTCAGCGGTAATCCTATTAAAGCGTGTTAGTCACACGCTCACACAAACACACTTCACAGGGAAACGAAACACTACGCAACGTGAAGTGATGTGAAGTGTGTGTGCGGCCGAGGCCGAGGACGAGGACGAGGACAACCCCCGAAGCGCATCCCAGACATTCGGGCGACTACCAGTCGAGCAGCTACTCGAGGGATGGGAGGGCAACAATGAGGCTAATCGACAGATCATAAAATGATCAAAATGTTATGTGAAGCGCATTAGGGCGCACGCGTCCTTGACAGCGTGGCAGATACAACAGATAGGAGAGGCGAGTTCCCTGGGATGGCATTGGTTGGGCCTGGATATCTGTGGGATTCCCTTCGTGCTCGGACAATTGAGCGGTTAGGTGTGCATAATGAGAAAGGGTGGAGAATGGAGAGCTTGACATCGTTAACATCCATAATTGAGTGAGTGCCAATTGATAGAATTTATTGTTTATTATCACAAGATTGGTTATATTTATGCTACTCGATTGCTTGTTTAATTGGTTGAATGGGAAACAAGTAGTAGATTGATTTATAGAAGGAATAAACTATGGGTTAGAGATTTAAGATTGATTTAGGAGAGAGTTTGGGAGGTTTCCATAGCCATTCTGCAGGAAATAAATATTTCAGGAGTCTCTCTTTCCCGCTCTTCCATTTTTTAATTATATTTTAAATTCTGTAATCACATTTTGTGATGTCTATCATCATCTGTCGTTTGTTTATTTGTTTGCTTTGCTGTTTGTGCTCTGCCTGCTGTACGGTAATCGTAATCACATAATCTGGACGCCAGCCCACGCCTCTCCATCAAAATGCCCAGCGGGTGGCACACACACAGCACACACACACACACACACACCCCCTTTGGCCACCCACAAGCAAGCGCCACATTGTGTCTCTCAGTCTGCCTCTCTCACTCTCTCCCTTTCGCAGTCTCTGACTGTCTGTCTCTATCTGTCGCCGTATGTTTTGCCCACTTCAAATTTAATTTCTGATTTCATTTGCGCACAGTTTATTCTTCGTTTTCGTTTCGTTTCGTTTTTTTTTTTTCACCCGTAATTGTTTCAGGCTGTGAAAATAAATTGAAAATGCTGCTGTGCCAACTGGCGCCAGGTTTGTAGTCCGTAGTCCGTGGCAAGGGACGGGGCCATGGCCGCACCGGGGCCAAAGGACGTTGAAGTCCTTTTTGACAGCTTCGCGGACTGACGCTTACGCTTAAATTTATTCGCTCATATTTATAAATGTGGCAAAGCAGCAGCAAAAACATAAATGAATGTATAAAGAATAGAAAGAAAGGAGGGAACTTGGCCGTGACTCCGTTTCCCAGGCTTTTCCCTTGGCTGCTGATGTCCGCTCATGTGCGATTGTGTGTGCTGCCTATTGATGTCCAAATATTTTTATTCATGGCCCTTTTCGCGGTTCACTTAACTGCCGAACTTTCAGTCATTACCCCCCTTTGAGATGCGAGCACGAGTCGCTCATAAATCACGTCATTGTTCGGCCCAACCCCTGAGCACCAGGCTGAGTACCAGGCGCCAGCCAGCCAACGTCTCGTCACCGCCTTTCGATGACGGCAACAAGCTGGAAAATATATATTCTCGTATTTTGCTAATTTAGTTTTGTTCACATTGATTTCGCACCGATAGACAAACAAATTTGCCTGCGCGAACAAAAGCATCGCAAAAAAGTTTACAAAAAATAATTAAAAAAGCGAAACGAATGGAAATGTAATAGAAAACTGTCAGCGAGTCAGCAACAGGTCGTCGGGCTTCCGCCTTCGAAGGCCTCGCTTTTTTTGTTGTGATTTATGCCCCGCTGGAAATGACCCGCTTCCGACATGAAATATCAAAAAAAGAAAAAGAAGAAAATAAATATGGGAAAAATGGAAAAAATCAGAAGTGGCAGCCAGCGAAAGGTGAAAAGAAAATAGAAAAAGCTGCGGCGCACTTGAAAGTTTTAGAAGAAGCAAAAGAGAGAGAGAGAGAGCAGGAGCACCTCCCGAGAGAGAGAGAGCAGCCTTTACACGGCGGAAACGCAGCGCACCCAGAGCCGGAGGTGACTGTGTCGAAGCGTCTCCGGTTTGGGTGTGAGGCCAAAAAGCGAACTGCAATTTAGTTGTCAATTGAATTTATGAGCTTGTTGAATTTATGGCCAACTACTACACTCTCTCTCCTCGGATTGCCTTTGCTTTTATCTCAAGTAACACAACTCACGTGAGCGTAGACTCCGTGCCGTGGGAGAACCCTTGACCTGCGCCGCGACCCTCCAAAGTCAATCTGCGTTATCAATTGACAGCGAGGGTCGCTTGGAGTCGAACCGCAATAATTTATAGCCTCGAATAGCACGTGAACAAGTCATATATAGTAGAGACGGGCCACCCCTTTTTGGGATGGCAGTTCTGTATGTTAATTGTTTGTTTGCTGTTTGTTGTCATTGGCTCTTAAGTGGCGCGGGGGGTGAAGAGCTGCTCGAGGGGTGTGCAACACCCGTGTGAATATGCTAGCTTTCAGTTTATAAAAGAATCACACACAAAAAAAGAGCAGGAAAACCAAAACGTAAACGAGCTGAGGTCTGTCTCTCTCCTGTGCAATTATCTCCGAACCGAAAGTCAAACGTTGGTAATCGGAGTCGTCGGAGTTCAGGCAGGCCACGCACCATGCAGCACCCTGCAATCGTGCAACCGTGCACCCGTGGCACTCGTGGCACACCCTTCCACCTCCGCTGCTGTTTATCAGTTGCGCAATTATTGCTTGTATTGTTCAGAGGACACTTTCAATATGTTTCTGTGAGAATTTCTTGCCTTCGTGGCCGCCCACCCTCCTGCCTCTCACACTTTCTGCCTGTTTGTTCGTGTCCATAATTTGTTTTTATTACAATTTTCACTTTCATTTCGCTGGGGTTTACCTTTTTTATTTGCTTTTTTTGTGGTTAGGGTTTGTTTGATTTGGCGTGTTGCCTTTTATTTGTGTGAATTCCGAGTTGACATTGCTCTTACTTTTGTGGGAACAAGTTTCGGGCAGTCATCTAGATGTGTTCGACTTGATAAGGAAGGTGTAATAGGTGTCGACAAAGGGTGGGAGAGAGGGAGAGACAGGGCCAGGTCAAGGAAAGTTTATGGAAAGTTAATGCAGTGGAAAGATTTGATACAATGAATATATTTTGGGGAGAGAGAAGAGAACATGTAAATCAGAGCGAACTAATCTTCGACAGAGTAAATGAATCTGTAGAAGCTTCAAGCACTCCAAACACAAGAGGCTGCATCGTTTACTGTCCCATATTGACCAGCCAATATATATTACCCATGCTCTGAGCTGCTTTCCCTCTGTTGCTCCATCATTAACCCTCTCATCAAAGACGAGTACGAGTACTCCACACAAAAAACTTTGCACAGCTGCCAATTTCCAGCTGATTTATGAGTATGGACCACGCCGTTGCCGCCCATTTGATTAGCAAATATTGAACCCGAGACGAGGAGAGAAATTTGTGTATTGTATTTTTATTATTTTTATGGCGTTTATAACAATACGCATTTTGGCAATAACAAAATGCACAGCCCAAAGGCCGCAGGCAAAATGAGCAATCTTTGAAGGAGGATGGAGGAGTGCCAGAGAGCATTAAAGACCCGCAACGAGCAGGGAGCAGGAGCAGCCCCCGCCGGGTGACTCTTGGCCTGTCATGCCTCGCCGAGCTGTATGCCACGTGCCGCGTCAGCAGCGACTTCGACTTCGTCGCGTGTTACATCATTCATACGTCATTAATGGCCACGTGTCCGAGCTGCCAGTTGTTATTGTAGGCTGGGCCATTTCGTTGTTGCACAAGGACAAGACGCATACGAGATATTAGCAGCCAGGACTCACCCGCTCCCACTCCCACAGCCTTGAGAAAACAAATCGCAGCGTTGATTGCGTTTCTTATTAACTGTTCGGTGATTCGGTGGTTGGACTCGTACAATATGCTCCCTGTCTTTGGCCATAGTGCTGTGATTCAGTGTCGTCATGTTTGTCTTGACGCTTCGTTGAATGTTTTTGGGCTGCACACACAACACAGACAGACAAATGGACACACAGGCCTGGGGATGCATTGATTGTGTGTCACTCGGCAGGAGCAGGGGAAGGAGCAGCAGCATCTTCCAAGACATAGATGAATGTTTTGTGGCTTAAAGTTAACTTCAAACACTTGACTTGTGGGCGTGTTGGTTGAGCGCCAGAATGGGCGTAGGCGTTGTCGCAGGCGTAAGTGGCAGCGTTGTAATCGCAGCTTTTTTGGGGAGTCAACGGAAATGTTACGGCGTCGCAAAATGGCGGAAATCGCACAACAAAAGAAATTAATTTAAAGTTTCGTTTCTTTTGGCGTGCAAATGAAATTACATAATGAATGCAATTAAAATGTTAAGCGTAGCTCAGACACAGCGGCAAGAACTAACTTTGTGCCACAGTGGGAAGGCGGCGCTTGAGTCTGCCCCTCTGCCACAGGCAAACATTTTGAGCCAAGTGAAACTTGGTTTAGCTCTAACGGAGGAACAGCAAATTGCTATTTAGCCATTTTAGATGCCATTAGCAGGGGTTCCCACATACACACGTACCTTAACACACACACACTTTGAGGGTAAGAGCTGGTTGGTGAGGAGACTCCACTTTTGCCTTCCAGTTACGTTTATTAAATAACTGCGTGTCAAAGCAGCTCACACACACTTACAGAGACACAAACTAGAACACACACACACACACACACACACACACACACACACACACACACTGATGGGTGCATGTACATTAAAAGTTCCCTTGAGCTGTGCTCAACTTTTCACTTTGTTTGTGTGTGTGTTTTCGGGTTGCATGAATGCGTGGGTGAAAAGCGAAATTTGTTTTTAACTAAAACTAAAACTAAAATACAAGCCAAGCGAGAGAAAAATGTGTGGCAATATACGACTATTTGTTGCCCATTTAAGAACTTTGTTTAAAAATCTTCTTGGAAAATCTTCTTCTGTACATAGCTTTTGCAAGTGCTAGGGCCTGTCGGGGCCTGTCCCATTTTAAGTCTCACATGGAGTACCCTTACAATGGTCAATCTCTACTGGGTTAATGGGTTAACAATTGAGAGTTTGCATTCGAATACTTAAGCGCTTTTTTGGGAATTAATTATACAAATTCCAACCCTTTTCAGCCATTTTACACTCCTTGCTGTGTGCTCCGTAAAATGCTCAATTAAATTATGAAATACCTTTCCAAATTCAATTGATTCTCCTTCAACTGAGTAAAACTCTCCCCACAACGCCATCTTCTTCATAGAAAAACATCCTCTATAGGGTATATAAGAACCAGAGCTAGGGAAAACATGCCACACACACTGAAACAGCGGTGCAAAAAGGAAAACTAGTAAAGCTTTTCGTTTATGTGTGAGGAACTACAATTTGTTCGTTGACGCCTATGAATTAGCCCATGCCACCCACTGGGGCGGGGGCATTCTGGATGCCCACTTGGCCAGGACGCCTCGGGACAAGAGGCAGAGAAAACAGAGGGGCAGAAACAATTTCAATGGGGAATTCAAAAATTAATTAAGCCAGACCCAACCGAAAGGCAGCTGTGTAGATGGTTGGGTGGCTGTCTTTGACTGAGTGACTGTTGGTGTGTGTGTGTGTGTGGGTGTTTGTGTGTGCCTGTCATTTTCTGTTGCCTGCTTCAAGGGGCATGGCGCAAAGGCGCGCTGTTGCTTGATGAGGAACAGAGAGAGTGAGTGAGAAAGGCAGAAGGCAGAAGGCAGAGTCACAATTGCACTTGAGCAGCTACAGCGCTGTCAGCGTCGACGCCAACGCATGTGCACCTCCGCCCCATCATTCCCTCCACTCACCATTCTCCACTTCTTACCCCTGTAGCAGTCAAAGCCTTTCACAATCAACTATTGTTGATTTCTCCTGCAAATCCTTGCAGCTCCAACTTCTCGCGCATTGTTTTTGCCACGCTGCCAGCACTCCTCCTCGGTGCCCCTCAAAGGCAGTGCCCACCTTCAGCTTGTACCAGTCCCACCATCAGCTATTCCCCAGTCCCACCTTCAGCCTGTCCCTATCCTCACCCTCCACACGCTCTTTAGAGTGGATAGGGGAACACGCTGCATAACGGTGGAGAAGGTGGTGCTGGGGGGGTGTTGTAGGCGAACGACGAAACGGTAATATCCTTGTGTTTGGTGGAAGGAAAAAGGAAGTGGATAATACATCCGTCCTTGTTGCTTCGTGTCACCCACTAAAAAGGCGATGCCACTTCTGAAGCTCTGCCAGGAGCAGCGGCAGCGGCCATCCATTGAGTGGCCGTGCGCAAAAGAGACGGGCATAGTGTGTGAGTGTGTGCAGAGAGAAGGCGAGAGAGAGAGAGAGCTAGAGAGAGCGAGAGTCCCAAACCAGCGGCCTGTGGCTTGTTTTTAGTCAAGTGGAAACGGTAACCTCCTACAATAAACCCAAAGAGAGACAGAGAGAGAGATGAAGAGAGAGCGAGCTTTTGTCCTGCATAAATTCATTTCTGAGTGTAAGCCAACTCCATGGATCACGTTTAGATGGGGTACACACTCGTACAATTAGAATCCAATGTTTTGGGCTCCTCTAAGCAGCGACTTCAATGTCCTTTCCCGCTCCATGCCCACACCATCCTGCCTCCATTTGCAGAAAGCTCTCTTGGCGCGTACGAAAAGCTTTCCCGGGCTCTCCGTGGCTAGGCCACACCTTGTCTCAATGCTGATTGGTGATTCGAGTCGAGCGTCGGAACGGAACCAGGGGGTGGATGTGTACTTTTGGTGTGGATTAAAACCCTAAGTATATCCTGGGGCGCAACAAAGGACAACAGCAACAGCAGCAGCAGCAGTGGCAGTGGCAGCAGCAGCGATGCCAAACAGAGCCAGCAACATGCCCAACCCGAGCCAGCGAGCCAGACAGATAGATACACATAAAGGAGCGAACAAACGAGCCGAGTCCACCACCCACCAAAGTGCTGCCCAACCAGCCACCAGCCACCCCCACTATGTGTGGCATGTGGCAAGCTTTGAGGGTTGGTGGGAGGTTGGTGGGCAGAGGCAGAGGCAACGACAGAGGCAGAGGCTGAAGCAACGTCAACGCCAGCGACAACGGCGGTGGCCTGGGCAGGATATGCGCGATTTGACGACGGAATGAAATCAATTGTTACGCTGCCGTGCCACAGATCGGACGCAATCCGGTGTCAGTGCTCAAGCTCAATAAAACGAACATACAGATACCCGTAAACCGTTGCCCGTACACCGTACACCGCAAACCGTTGTCCCTTGTCCAGAAGCCAGAAGCCAGAAGCCAGAAGCATCCTTTCTTAACCAAAGTGATTTACGCGATTTTGTGGGCCTACACGCACGCACACCAAGAAACTCTCGGCAAAAAACACACACACACATACAGAGTACACACATTGACACATATAAATCAGTTGGACACGCGAGCGAACGAGCGAACGAAAGGACTGGACGGCAGGGTCCAGAAGTGCATTGGAAAGTTCGAACGGAAGTCGAGGTGTCCGGTAAACGGTAACCGGTTCCGATCGTCACTTTTCCCGTTCCCGTTCCCGTTCCTTTTCCTGTTCCGCTGCGCGTCGGCTCGCTGCTCGCGCTGCTCGTTTGCGGTATTGCCTCCGTTTTTAAATAAATTCAATTGTGGACAAGACTTGGAGACGCCTCTCCGTCGCTCTGCGTCTGCGTCTGCCTCCGTGTTATTAGTTTCCGGACTCCGGCGACCAATTTACCGCTTGCCAAAAAACAACAACAACAACCGGACAACAACACAAAAAAGAGAAGAAAGAGAAGGAAAGACAAAGAGCAATAGCAAATTTGAATTTGAATTTGAAATTCCAACTAATTGTTCGGCAACGAAACGGAAAAGAGGAAAACCAATTGGACAGTGACACCTACTGAGGGACACACGAGAATCTATCGAGTGAGGAGCAACCTTTTGTAGAGCACCGACGGCGGTTTGCCCCGCTGCCACACAATGCTGGACATCAAGTCCTCCGCTGATTACTTGTCACGCTCCACGGGAGGCTTCAGCAATTTCTCAATGCTCTTCGCAGGTGAGTGGGCAATGTGTGAGCCAACACGACCGTCGGCCGCGGTCCTGACCAATGCCGCATGGAATCCAAGTAAATAATTTAATGCCATAGCTCCCTAAGACTTACTTCTCGTAATCGTAACCTGCCGTCGGCTTCTACTCTAAGTGCTACTTGCCTAGGTTAAATCTTAAGTGAAGTGAATTCGGAATTGGATACTCAAAATATTTATTCTCTTTCTGTTGCAGATTCCTCGTACAAATCGTCGTGGGGCTCCCACAGTTCCACCCAATCGCAAGGTGAGTTTGAAGTGTATTTTAGTTACAATAAAATTCAAATTAACTTAGATTCGGTGATGGTGAACAAAGCAAGAAGTGATTGAAATGAAAATAGATTCTACAAATAACTTAGATCATCATTGAGGGGAAATTATCCCTAATTGCTGTATGGTAGAAAGACATCATTGACATTAACATTAACTCTAAGAGGAGACCCCTTTAAAATTGTATTTACTTAATCAAATCAAAGGTAAATTGTATACAAGCTTTCATTCGTTTTTAATTGCAAAAAGATAAGATAGAAGATAACTTTCTAAGTTCGAGTTTGTTTAATTTTGGACAAAAATGAACTTGTTTTAATGTAAAAATAACTGAAACAAATAATTCAAGGCCAAGACGTTCCTCTTCTTGGTAGTTATCCTCTCCGAGCAGTTAAGAGCTTCATAAAACTGATGAAAAGTTCTGCAATTGGCTTTTCCACATACCATCAAAATAACTTCATTCTTCTCTATCATCTTTGTGCCTACTTTTCATATATCTATCCCATTAAAAACCGCTGCAAATTCTCAAACAAAACTTGACTAATTCGCCAGAGTTCCAATGATTGCAAATTGCCAACAAATAAACTCAAAAAGTTATGCTCGAAGCCTAAAATTATAGCAAATTATGCCTCGAAACCCGAAGACATCAAATGAAAGCACTCAAAAAGCCATAAGCTAATATTAAATATGCAAAACACACACACACACACGAGTACAGACAGAGGCCCAAGGAGTTGGAAATTCACACGAATGAAAGGGACGCAGGGAACTTGGGTGCCGGGAACCAGTGAAGCATGCAAAATTTGTGCTCTGATAGATGTATTGAAGCAAATCAACAAGCATCAATAGAATATTGACAGACACTTGGGTTGGGGGTTCTGGTTCTGGTTATGGTTATGGTTAAGGTTCTGGTTCTGTGGCTGCTTTTGCTGTATAGATAAAGGACTCCAAAAAGGTGACGACTACACGTGTTTTTTTTGCGAGGGGTTGCGAGGCATTGAAGCGAGCAGAGGGGGGTTAAGCGGCTTATTAGGCTAGTTACGGGCCAATACTAATTGAAATTATATTGTCCTTTGACACCCACTCCAATGGCCATGGCCTGCAGGCATTTTAAATCTGTGAAATTCTGAAATATTCCCCCACACACCAGACACCGGAGAGGAGACAAAAATTTCAGCTCGGCTGCACGCATTTAGCTGTTGGCCATTGATGGCATCAAAATTGTGCACAGGCAAAAGTTTGTTCACAACTTCAGCCTCACTCAACTCCACTCAGGCAGCATCAGGCACAACCCAACCAGAGCCAAACTCCATGCCACACTCCCACTCTGGTGTCGGTGTTGCTGTTGCTGTTCGGCTGCTGCAATCGTTCGCCTTTTGTGCTCTTCGCAGTTGAGTGGCCACACAAAGCGCGCAGAAAACCAAAAAATGTCATATGAAAAGTTGTTCGCCTTTTTAAGAACAATAAGTGACAACAAAAACAACAGCAACGGGCGGTCGCTCGTTGCAAGAACCACCCAGAAAATCTTCCTCTCTCTCTGTGTGTGTGTCCATTGCCTGCGGCTTTAATTTCGTATGAAGCGTGAAGTTTGCCACAAGTTTGAACGCGCCGAGATTGTAAATTGAATTGCCAGCGGCATTGTTTTCGCTCTCTTTCCCTCTCTCTCAGCAATCATATTCCATTAAAATGAAAAAGATCTCACAGCTTTCAGCGTTGCTCATGTCACAGGACAAGCCATGCCTTGGGCTCCGTTTCGTCGAGTTCTTTGATGACATTGCTGAGATAATGTTTGTGTTGCGGTTGAGTTGATGATTGCCTTTGATTGTTCAACTGAGAGTGTTAACTGACAGCTCGGTTATGTTTAAATCATTAGAGCAGAAATAACAGACCATTTCTGGATGTCGCGTGGGTGTGGTATTTTTTCTGAACTCTGTGATAGAAGGCAAAGCGATCATATCAGAGAATGTGATCTGGTGTGATCTAAGATATAAAAGAAATTATCCCCATATGTTATTCATTAGCTGTGTAGATCGTGAGCTTGTTCGTTGAGCTATTAAACCTCTCAATATTTCCTTCATTTATTATTCAACTTTTCTAATTCTTTATCTCTGTTTTTGTCACCCTTTTAGGCTACAGTTCCAATGCCTTGAGCATCAAACATGATCCGCACTCGCAACTACGGCAACCTGGTGAGTTCCTACCTTTAAATACATATTTTATGCCACTTCTGGCACTCCATTAAAAAGCCCCAAGTGCCTGGCAGATGCTTCAGGCACACGTGCCGCGCATTGTTTAGCCTTAAATCAAACATAAACACGCATGAAAAAAAGGGAAATATATATAAATAATTTGCAACGAAAACTCTGTTTGCCAACACTAATAAAGTTTCGGCATTGTATCGGACGCACGCTGCAAGTGGCACTTGAGTTTTTGAGTTTTTTGAACTGCTATCCGATACGATACGAATGGAGCCACTCACTCAGTCACTCATTCACTCACTTTGGACTGCAGTACCAGAGAGCAAGCAGCTTTCCTACCCTGCGCTTAAAAAATTCATTTCGAATACTTCACACTGAAAACCAAAGCAAAAACTGAATCCGAAACCGAAACAGAAATCGAGCAAATACTGTCGCAAAATCAAACCTTAAATACGCCACTTGAGCAGCACTGGAAATGGTAATGGAAACAAAAGTGCCGAGCAGTGGAATTGAAGCGTAATGGAAACAATTGAAAATGCCATAAAGGATTCTCAATTAGAGGGCTGCAACGGGTGGGGAGACGGGGGAGGGACACAGAGAGAGACCCAGACGCACTTGGCCAGGCTTTTGTTGCTGTCAAAAAAATTGACGGCCGTGGATGAATAAGACGCGTGCCAGCCAGGCAGCCAGCCAGCCAGCCAGCCAGCCAGCCAGCCAGTCCCGGAATACCGGAATAGGGGGCAGTTTTTTCGGGACATTAAAGAACTGTTGAGAGAACAATGCCCGATGTACGAATGAGGCTGAGAAACTGTTTGCAAAACAATGGCCACAACGAGAACGAGTCGAGCGACGCGACATGGAGACTCCAGAGGATGGCTGGCCGGCTGGCTGGCTCTGGGCTAGATGATGCGAATTATGGGACAATTGTGTCGTATGTTGAGTAGTGTGTCTGGTTCTGGTCTCTCGGTAACGCTGCAATCAGGCACTGCATTGAGACAGAGTAACCTTTCTTTTCCCCGCAAACCTTCCAAGCCCCACGGTGAAGGGAGGAGCTGAATTCAGGGCTTTAGCATGCAGGAAACGCGCGCCGGATAATAAGTGAAATGGATATTTCGAGTGTGAGTGAGTGGGTGAGTGTGGGTGTACGAGTGCACTCGACAAATGCGCACAAATGAAGCATCTGCATGCATATACATATATAATACGTATAGATTTATATAGGTACTCGTATTTTACAGTTTCCTAGTAATGCATTTCATTTCATCAACGGAAACTAAAACTTGCCATTGCTTTTGCCTTTTCTTTTCTATAAAAATGTTTCCCGTTTTACGTTTACGGGCACGGGCACGGGCACGGGCACCCTTCATTAAAAAATATTTGCATAAAAGACTTTGACTTGGACTTGGACTAATGCCACGCTTTCTGCTTTGCAACCCTCTCTCTCTCTCTCTCTATCCACAGATCCATATCAAATGTTCGGACCCACCAGCAGCAGGCTGGCCAGTTCAGGTGAGTGGAACAATCAGAAAAGCATAAAGATGCAGGTGCTGCGATTAGTGTTTCCCTTTGCGTGGGCCACGTGACTACAACTACTACTACTACTTTGGGGGGTTCAAACTCCAGAGCTCGGGACTCTGAACTCTCCCCAATCTGTTTTGGAACCCCAAAACACTTACGAACTCTGCAGAGCCAGAGCTCTGGCTGCATTTCATTATCATATCAATTTCTGGCTGAGATTCGACTTGGCTTAGTCATTGCCCTCCGGACGGACGGCGACCCTAACAAATTAACCCATTGCATGCGAGCTTAACCCCTTCCCTGCTCTGCTCCGACTTTTGGGGTGCAGTTTTCTAATTTATGCGAAAGGTGTTTTTCGTAAATTTATTATATCACTTCTGTACGTGTGTGTCGATGTCCGTGTATGGGCGTGTCTCGGCAATTGTTTTTTGCAGCTTTTGCCCTTTCGCTTCATTCATTGCTTGGGAATTGGAAAGTGTCTGGAACTCTTGGGCACGCGCCCTGCTGTTAAACGCCATGAAAATCCATTAAAAAGTGATGCAAGCTAGAGTCAAAGGGTTATTCTAAAGTGGGCGTGGCGTGTTCTCTATGAATTTTTGATAAATCGGTCAGCCGTAAGCCTTTTTTTTACACAGCCGCAGAGATTAATGACCGTGAGATTGGGAATAAAAGAGCGAGGGCTAGATGAGGGGATGCCATTACCTATTTAGAGTCCCTAACCCAAAAAAAATCCTAAATACTTGCCAAACTATTATTAAACTCTATTAAATTGTGTCACACATTTTGGTTGGAATTTGCTGCACAAATGAAAGTCCAAAGGTGTTTTCCAGGGTCAAAATCAATAATTCCTATTGATCCTGCGCTGGGGCAAGCTTTTGCCGCCGCCGCCGCCATTATTGTTGCATGAGCTCCACCCACCGCAACCCCAATGTGGCAGCAAAACCGGCCACGGCCCCCATGCCATGCCACCCCATCGAAACATGGCGCTTCAACGGAATTAGCATAAAAACCCAGACGCCCAACATTTTCCGGCGCGACATTTACACGAATCGAGCCTCTGCCTGGCCCTGCGCCTCTTTCTCTCTCTCTCTCTCTCTCTCTGTCTCTTTCTGACTTTTCTTTCTCTTTCGCGACTTTGTTGTGTGGTTTAGGCCGTTGCCAAGAGTTGGCTCTAAACTTCAACTTGAAGTTGAACTCAAAAGCTCACTGAGATACACACACATACACAGACAGAGAGAAAGACACACACACACACACACACACACACACACACACCCATATGGGGGATTGCGCTTTCGCTTTTTGGGTGGCAAAAATGCTGTTTTTGATTAATTATGGCTTCCTCTCGACACGGAACCGCTTTGTTAGCCAAGTCCGGTCAGCGCCGCTGCAAGCTGGTCAAACACTTGACATGCCACACTCATTTGCAAGTGTGTGTGTGTGTGTGTATGCCTTCCAGCTGCAAGTTGCATGCAACCACAAAACTGATAAAAACCAAGAAAGCAACCCACCAAGAGTCGCTGCATAATTAAATAAGTCAAAATACAGCAACAAAAAATGTTCTTAATTATGTATAAAAAGTAGTCGCTGCAGCCTCACATACAAAGTCCTGCCACGGCGCTAATTACTTCCGGTTTTAGTATGTTTTTTTGGTGGGGATTTATTAATTAACATTTTTTTGGAGTGCACTTTAACGCCTTTCTAGTGAAATTAGTTAATGCCTGAAGGATAGTAATACTGCTAATAGGTTTTCCTTGTGCTTTGCAAGGAGAGAAACAGCCAAGTAGATGTTCCTGTTGATCTCAGAGTGACTTTTAGAGATAGAGAAACACTCAATTATTTTAAATTTCATTGCCAATGCTTTGTCTTTACTAAGTATCGATCCATACTATAGATCCATCTCTTGTTTTTCCCTTAAAATATTACAAATTGGTGATACAAAATGTAAAACTAAATGGTTTCTAAGTGTCTATCTCTTTGTGTACCTTTTGTGCATTTGTTTACTGTTAATAGCGTGCCAATTGCCTGGCCAGCCTACCTTTCACTCTATGTGTCTTCTGCCTAGCCACGCCCTCGCTTTCGCTCGCTCTCTTTTCCCACTCTATCTGTGTGTGTCTTCTGCCCAGCCCCAGGGACAATTATCATTCATCATCGTCGTGGGTGAATCGTCGTGCTGGCACTTAACACATTCACTTGGCCATGATTTGCAATTAACGCAATATTCATGACGTTCTCACACATGAGCAGCGCTAAGCCACCACCAAAAGTCCCACCAAACCCATCCACCGCCCCACAGCTGCCTCAAGTTTTTCCAAGCCACCCCCCACTGGCTCTCGTTCTGCTCTGCTCTGGTGTGGTGTGGTGTCCTTTTTTTGTGACTGGATCTTTTGTCTGACAGCAAACAGAGAAGAGAAAGGAGAGAGAGAGAGAGCGAGACAGAGCCCGTTTGCTGGGCCTTCTTCCGTGGCCTAATTGCCAAATGATTAAGCGATTTATGATGTCTGCGTCGAATGCGTGGCGAATCCCGCTCACAATACACAATCATAATTCTGTAAATGTTTTAGCACGCACAATGCCAAAGTTCAAAGGCGGATTGGGAGTAGGAATTTTTGATTTTCGTGACGCGACGTGGCGTAGGCGTGGGCTTGGGATGGGAAAGCACAAAAGTCAAAGAGCAAATGGGGAACTATGCAACATAAAGGCAGGGGGGAAAGAGTATGCTGTGACGCAATAACCTTAAGAAATGTGGAAGTTATTTATAGAGTTTATTAGCTATGGGAATCTTTGCTACTAAAACAAATTCAAGGTAGATGATGGAGGAATATTTATTCAACCAAGAGAGAGCTAAAAGCGAGGACTCTCTCCATCATAGATCCAGCTAAAATGATATGTATGCTTTGACGCTGACAAATTTCCAGTGAAAGTGCAAGACAGGACATCTATTTTTATGGCCCAAGAGCGGGAGATGGAGGAGGGCAACAGTAGGATTTCCCAACTTCCATTACACTTACATGCAATGCCATTTCCGTTGCGCTACACTTCTCTTGCAACAATTTGAGGCAGCCGTCATAGATTTGCCACCGCCAGCAGAGCAGAGCAGAGCTAAGAGAACCAGAATGGAGTCACAGTTATTTATCGAATTGCCCCTACAGAGCGCTCGCGGGGGGGCAGCAAGCCAGCAAGCCAGCAATCCGTACAGGAAATGCTTTATGGGGCTTTTGCATGCCACAAAATGCTTACATTTTGGCCACATCTCCCCCCTGCCAGCCATCAGCCCCAGCCCCAGCAGTAGTTAATTTAAGACCCAAACGCCGAAAGGATATGCTCTTTTGATGGACATTTAGCCAGGCTCCAAAAGACCGACATTAAATGTCTTTATAACGTATATAATTCCCATTTCAGGCTCCGGACAGATACAATTATGGCAATTCCTGCTCGAACTGCTGTCGGACTCGAACAACGCCAGCTGCATCACCTGGGAGGGCACCAACGGAGAGTTCAAGCTCACAGATCCCGACGAGGTGGCCCGACGCTGGGGCGAACGCAAGTCCAAGCCGAACATGAACTACGACAAACTGAGTCGCGCCTTGAGGTGAGTACACTATGCCCTCTAATCTGGTATCTATCTATAACTTTGGTGGTGGTTTCTGCCCTCTCCGCTGGTGCACTCAAGTGCTCCCTAATTAGCCGATATCTGTGGCATCATCAAAATGCGAGCATGTGTGCAATGTGCTGCTCGTCCGCTCATCAGTAAATGATTTGTGCCCGTCAATGATTAGCCTCTTTGATGACAAAACGTACACACAAATGACCCAAAAAAAATAACGATAAAATATATAAAAACAGGGAAAAAGAAAATCTGTGACAATCCAAAACTTGACCAACGTTTAGCCCCACTTGATTGTGTGTGTGTGTGTGGGCGTGTCCTGGGCAGAGAGAGATTCAATCATAAATTGCACGGGAATGTAATCAAAAAATCCAATAAAATACAAATCTAATTGCCAAAATTCAATTTCGTATTGAATTCCATTCCCTATTTCTATGTTCAGTTTTTGTGTGTGATTTTCTGTTACGATGACAGATGACAGCAGCATATGCGGCAACGCAAACTATTTGTGCAACGGTCAATTTGTTAAGCAAACATCAGTTGGCCCAAAAGAAGTGTTGGCCTAATCCCTGGGCAGGACAGCAAACGAAAAGAAATAAAACGAACCCTTTTACGGGCAGAGCTTCTTGAAACTGTCAATTGCAATCAAAACGAAAACGGTGGCAACGATGCCAACGAGCCAATGATGCGAATTCAAGTGGAAAAAGTGCTGGCAGCCAATTTGCAACACACACAGACATGTAACATGTAAATAAAGATGTAAAAAGTCGAGAAATCCTCTTGCCCGAGAATCCTTTTTGATGTGCAGGAAGCCTCAACATGTCTGTCTGTCTGCTCGTCTGCTCGTCTGTTCCTTTTTGCACATTTCAACTCAATTGAACAATTGAACACGAGAGCTAGGAGAGACATCATCAGACATCAGAGACATCAGCATCATCGTTGGCTTTTATGTTTACACAGAAATGCGAGCACAGAAAAGTGTGTGTGTGTGCTACATGTGATGTGTGTGGATAAATGGGTGTGTAAATTAACACCCACACACACTGCGAGTGAGAGAGAGAGCTCTAGACAGCAAGGACAAGTGCTTTAATGCTTCATTTGACATGTTTATTCACAGCCAGCTGCCCTTTTGTGTGCTTGTGTGGCCAATCCTCGAAATGGGTTTACTTTAATCCTTTTTCTTCCCTTTTTTTCGGTCCTTTATCTCTGTTCTCTGGTCTCTGGTCTCTGCTCTCGCTCTCCTACTGCTTGATTGTGCGCCTTTGTCCCTGCCATCAGTCTATTGATTGGCTTTGATTGTTTGTGCAAAGAGCAATCGCCGTCGCAGTGGCAATGGCATTTTCTCTGTGCCTCCCTCTGCGCGTATTTTTTTGCTGCATTTTCCAGCCAGCTTTTGTTTTAATGGTTTTAATTTATGGACGTAATTGGCATAATTTATGCCCCTGGAACGAGCAAGACAACTGCACGCATTATGCCAATTTGCATTGATGCATTGAAATGTTTGCCACTGCGCTCCTTTTTGTAATTTATTTGCATGTTCTTTTGTTGCCTCTTTTTTTACTTTTGCTACAGCGGAAGTTGCGGACATTTTAAAGCGCAGCCACAATGCGAATTGTCTTTTCAAATGAGCTTTAATGTGACGGCAACCTGGCCGGCAGTAGTCATGCCTCATAATGGATTGCCAACTTAATGAAAAGAAATCACGGCCAACCCCTCGAATGCAAACAAACGTGCGCCTGCCATTTCTTGGACGCCCACACAATATACAGAACATCTCCCCCAACAAATTTCTATTTGACTTTCTGCACAAGGCTTTGCCATTTAATTACCCAGAGGGAGAGGGAGAGGGAGAGATAGAGTGTCTGGGGAGCGGCACTAAAATCGCTTAATGTCAGCAAAATTAACTTAAAACGCATAAAGCGAGCATTATTTTGTAATTATTTATTGTCCATCTGAGTTGGGGGGTTAGACCATGTCCAACCATGAGCATGTCCTTTTGTTTAACTTTCCCACATTTCGATCAGAAGCTGTCGCCGAGGGGTTGCTTAACAAATACTCAACGAGATTCTTCCTACCCATTGCTATCCTTTTTGCAGATATTATTACGACAAGAACATCATGACCAAGGTGCATGGCAAACGTTATGCGTACAAATTTGATTTCCAAGGCCTTGCAGCGGCCACACAGCCGGCGGCCAGCGATCCCACCTACAAGTATCAGAGTGACTTGTTCATGACACCATATCATCACAGCGCCAAGCTTAGCTCTTTTATGAGTCCCCACCATGGCATGACCTCGTCATCGGGTAAGCAACTCTCACAAAGGAGAAGAATTCGCCCCACAGCTAACACTGAAATCTCTCCTTTTCTTTCCGCTTTCTCCCTGTGCAGCATCCATCTTCCCTTCTGCTGCGTCGTGGGGCAACTGGGGCAGTCCGGCCACGAATCTGTATCAGCCGCACTCGATGAGCCATGTGACGCCCTCCCATGTGGCGCCGCATCTGAGCAGCTATCCCCACTACGCATGACCATCATCGTCCGGTGGCGCCTTCTAATATGAGAGCAATGCCATCGCCAGTGCCACAGGCATTGGCGGCGGCACTGCAGCAACAGGCGTCGGCGGCCTAGTCGGATCGGGCACGGCAACGGGAGGCCTCGGCTCCACATCCAGCAGCACCAGCTCAGGCAACGGGGGTGGCGGCGGAGGCGGCGGCGTATCCAGTTTGATGAGCGGCTTTGGCAGCGCCAGCAGCAACAGCAACCTCAATGGCTCTCACGTCTCCAGCAGTGGTGGCGGCGGGTCAGGGGGTGCGACGAGTGTAAGCAATAATCTGAATATAGCCACAGCCACCTTGACGGCGGCCCCGGCCCATGCCAGTGCCGGGTTCGGGGCAATCGGAGGGCTGAGTGTGGCTGGCATGGGGGTGGGCGTTGGCGTGGGCGTCGGGGTGGGTGGCGGCACCTCGACGCTTAATTCCCTGGTCGTGGGCAACCGCCTGATGAACAGCAGCCTACCGACGCTGCTCAAATGATGTCACCTGGAGAAGTTCGGACTGACGATGGGCGCAGGACCATCACCGCCAGCGGCCACACCCGCCGCCGGCACTGCCGTCAGTCTGGACAACATGCCGCCATATCCCGGTCATCCCAGCCATCACGGACACCCTGCGCATCCCGGTAACTATGGCGCCAATGAGCGTGCCCTCTACGATTATCTGGACATGAAGAGCGGCGAGCAGGCCACGTTTTTACTGTAAATGCAAAACTTGTAACCAGAACCACCAGACAAATGAATCCAAACGAAACGCAAGAAACTCGAATAATCGAAAATATTTGAGCGGATTTTATTCATAGAACATTAGCGAACAAAAACCAACCAACCCCCAACAGAGTATTTTATGTGTGCGAATGAGTGTATGACTGCTAAGAATAGTTTTCGTTTTCGTTGTTGCTGCTCCACCCCGTAGTTATCAATCTGCAAAAGCGTTAAAATAAAACTAAAACTTCTCAGTGTGTTTTTAGTGTAACAAAAAATGGAAAGCCAAGCAAAAGTAATTGGCAAAACTCTTACTCCTACAAAATAGAACAATTCTACATTGTTCCCCAATTGTTGTTAGAATTTTCTCGGGTCTGAAAATGAAAGATTTAAAAAGTGTAAATAGAAATACGTAACCAAAGCAAATGCAGAACCTAAATGTAGCACCAAACCGAATCGAGTCCCCACAGTGAATGTCTCTAGCCATATAGAAGTTTGCCAGATCTTTGATTCAATTTACGATTTGTAAATAAATAAAATATGAGTAACAAATGTAAGTGTAAAAAATGTTTAGCAATACCCACAAACAACAAGTAATTTCTATGTGTGTGTTTCAGTTTCGGTGTTTCATATAAGAGACATAACATACATCCTTAGGTTCCCTTTCCCCCTATCGCTTATCCTTTCGAGATGGTTGACTGTGATAGTTGATTGTACAGTTAAAACTCTTACATATTTTTTAAATAACCAATTATATACGAGCCGAATATTTGAATAAATAATAATAATAATCCAAAAACCAAAACGAAAACTAGAAATACTAAACAACGGATATAAATATAAATATATTTGTGTGTAAAAAAGAAATCTTTTTAAACTCCCAAGTCCATGTTTAACTATAAAACTAACTATATAGTTAATACGGAACTACGGAATACGAAATATGATATATGAATTTGTGTGTGTAACTACTTCAATGTGTGTGAGTTAATTAATTCAAATGCAAATGCAAATAAATACACATACAGGAAATACCACAAGGCGATCTTAATGCCAATCGATCTAAATGTATACAATTTTTAAATTCTGAATGTACGAAAGCTCGACTCTACGAAATAAAGAAGACAATGGAGTTACTCGTGATTAACCTTCAAGAATTAATAACAAACATCAGCAACGCCCCCACACACCGAAAACCCTCTAAGAATTTAGTTAATTTAAGGCAAAAAACTTTCAACAAAAATAAAAAAAAAAAACAATTCAAAACGGTATCTGTTCTTATTTGTTAATCTCTCTCGGTTTCTGTCTGTGTCTTTATTCGCAAATTTACCAAAATTGTTATGTACAGCAAGTGGGGACAAGAATCTACACTCGAAATGGAATGAATCCGAGGGATCCGGCTCACTGCGCTGCCTTGAACCACTTGAACTCGTAGTGCTTCAGGGAATTCTCCGCGGGCAGCACACTCTTCTCGTCCAATTTCTGCCAACTGATGTGCGGCTGGAAGCCAAACTCGTTCGCAATGTACTCGACGGTCCGCCGAACTGCATCCTCGCCGATGGCAAAGTAGTTTCCCTCCTTGTCGCCGTTCCGACTGCCCGCTTCCTCGTGTCCATTGTAGTCCAGAATGTACTTGAACTTGTACAGATCTCCCGATGCTTCACCCGATGCGCTGCCAGTTGGTCCGCTACCACGGTATACGCTGCCTGCCGCTCCACTGCCACCTGCAGGGAAGGATCCCGCTGGCAAGCTTGCACCACCAGCTGCTGATCCAGCAGGGCGACCTCCAGCTCCTCCAGATATTCCTCCAAGGGATGGTGATCTGCCACCTGAAGCGCCACTTAGTGGAGTGCCAGCTAGGCCTCCATTACCTCCAACTCCTTTAGGGAAGCTTCCACCTGATGGGCCACCCAGTGGTGCACCAGAAACGCCTCTGTTTCCCGCATTTCCTTGAGGGAAACTTCCAGCTGATGCGCCACCAGCTACGCCGCCATTTCCTACATTTCCTTTAGGTAAACTGCCACCAGAGATGCCTACAACAGCAGGGCTTCCACCGATCTTCGTTGCTGTTTAGGAGAAGAGTAGAAATGTATTGGCTTTCAAGGATGTCGCCTTCATGCATCCCCCATCGACTTACGGATTGCATTTCCGGTTGCTGAAAGGCCGCCTGCGCCAGAAAGTCCCGTCTGTGTTGGTGTATCTGATAAATGGGATATGGGACTTTTAGCAAGGACACAACCCTCAATGTAAAGTGCATGTAATATTGCTTAGTTATAAAAGTAAGCGTAAGAATACGATGTAACTTCAGCGCCACTGTGGAATGACCTCTTGAAAGCAATTTCCTCCCACTCTACGTTACGATTTATCAAGAAACTAAAGCTCTAATTAATTAGCTCTACATAGATAGTCCCCTCTTTGGGCTTACTCAAGGGGTATCTCTGCTGTGTGCTCTGTGTGAGTGTTGTGGGTGTGTGCAATTGTTGTTGTTGTGTGCTCTGTATTGGTGCTGGGAATTGTGCAAATTGCGTTGAGGGTTGTGCTCCCAGTCCGAATATCTGTCCAGCAGTAGGTTGGGCAGCAGTGGCAGGACTGGAGAACGCGACTGGATGCGTTTGTTGCACCACATTACTGGCCTGCGGCACATTCGAGTGGCCAATACCGGAAGTGAGTGGGGAACTCTGCGCGCTGGTTGAACCCACGGAAAAGATTGGCACCTGACTTGCGGGCACTGTGGCGGGCGGTACAATTGGCTGCTCTGCCAAGGCCAGGGGAGCCTTCACGCTGGAACCGAAGGCACTCGCCTGTCTCACAGCATCCGCATTCAGTTTGATGTTCAACGGAGCATAGGTCGCTGCTGCCTGCTGTGTGAGTGTTGTGGGTGTATACAATTGTTGTTGTTGTGGGCTCTGTATTGGTGCTGGGAATTGTGCAAATTGTGTTGAGGGTTGTGCTCCCAGTCCGAATATCTGTCCAGCAGTAGGTTGGGCAGCAGTGGCAGGACTGGAGAAAGCGACTGGATGCGTTTGTTGCTCCACATTACTGGCTTGCGGCACATTCGCTTGGCCAATACCGGAAGTGAGTGGGGAACTCTGCGCGCTGGTTGAACCCACGGAAAAGATTGGCACTTGACTTGCGGGCACTGTGGCGGGCGGTACAATTGGCTGCTCTGCCAAGGCCAGGGGAGCCTTCACGCTGGAAACGAAGGCACTCGCCTGCCTCACAGCATCCGCATTCAGTTTGATGTTCAACGGAGCATAGGTCGCTGCTGGCTGTGTGGCATAGGTGCCCTCTGGCTGTGCTGCATAGGTCCCCGCTGGCTGTGAGGCATGGGTAGCCGCTGGCTGCTTCGCGTAGTTAACGGCGGTCGAGGATGACGGGGAAACCTTATCAGCCGTTCGGATGATGCCCACATCGTAGTCTACTTTTCTGTTGCTGCTCGGAGACTTTGAGTTCTGCATCTGACTGATCACGTGACCCGTGACGGCGGCCTTGGAGGTGCTGTATGTGGTCATGGCCAAATCGAGACCGACTTCTATTCGCTTTTGGAGTGGCTTCGGACTCGTCGTGGTGGCTGCAATTGTGTGCTTGGTGCTGGTGTGCTGTGTGTTAGTGTAGGGATTGTTGTTGCTGTTCGTGTTCGTGTTGTGCTGTGTTTTGGTTGCTGGACTGTGTCCCAGTCCCTGTTGCCTTGCCACCTCTATGGTCTGGGCAATCGACTGTCGGAAGGGCAGCTGGACATTGACTCCATGATCCTGTGAGCCCGCTTCCAGCCGATTGGTCGTTGGCTTACCTTGCTGTACGGTAGCCAGCTCTGGCAGCGGCTTTGAGAGCGTACGAATCTCAGTTTTGGGACTGCCCGCAGCGGGAGACTTCTTCAGGAAGCAGCCCGAACAGGCCTCCGTGTTGAAGTTGTACTTCGGCAAAGCTGCCGGAGCTGATGGCGGTGGAGGGGCTCTTGTTGTCGTGCTGGCAGCTACGGTCTCTGGAAATCACAATGTAAGTGGCAGCAAATCGTTCAGCGTAACTTTAGATACTCACTGGGTGCTATGGGTCCTGCGTAGGGATAACTCTTCATTGACACAATGTGAAATTTTCCCTCTTCGTCGGTGGCGTAGACAGTCACATGATAAATACCATCGGCGGTGATGAACCCAAACTCGCCCATAACAATGCCGCGCTCATCTGTGAATCGGGAAACGAGATTAGCTTTAGACTCATATACAGATATTTTATGTTCGTCTCGAATATGAATGCGAGTTGGTATTCTTCGCATAACCTGCCCCGACAGCCCCATAAAGATTAAGATCTAATAAACTGTATCGATAATGGAGCTCATAATTTGAGAGCTTGTTTTCAAATCCGTCGCCCCCCACCCAACCCAACGGCCCCTGCCTGCTGACTACGCATGAATATAATGAATATTATGCTGAGCAGATTCAAGATTCGACACCCAATCATGCATCCTGGCCAGAGCCACAGTCACAGTCACAGTCACAGCCACCCACTCGTTTTTCGATTTCGTGATTGTGAGCGACTTTCTGTGGCCTTTCGGGGGGGGCCTAAACTGGTTCTGGCTTTAACCCGTACTTGCTAACACGTTTGAACGGGCTATAATCCATTGGCTTTCGTTTGTTTGTTATTTTTTGTTTTATATTTGGGATATGGCATCGTGTCACTTTCGCGTTTGTCACTATCTATTTCAGTTCTACGAAAAAATCGAATTATTCTTTTGTTCTAATTGATGGGCGTTTGAATTGTTCATTGAATTGAGCCGAATAATGGAAACTATTAAATACAAATCAATAAAAATAAACTGCATTTTTATTTCAGCAATGAAACAAAGTCTCATCTGCATGCTAATATCGAATTGAGCACAGGAAAGCACGCCTTAAAGTATGCTCGAAATTGATATGTTAGAAAATGAATGATATCATGGATTAAAGATGTTTGTAAAGGAACTCAATTCCACTCCCAACAAACATTGCTCCCACACACACAAAGGCAAACCAACAACGAGTTTCCCCCCCCCCCTTCTGAGTGTCGAAAATGTGAACGAAAGTCGAATTGTGGACTCAACTCTGGCATTTTATATGCCAGAATTATACTTAAAAATTTTGAAATGTGGTCGTTTTATTTTTGTATCTGTGTGAATTGGCATTAACTAAAGAATGAAAAACCATAAATAAGGCAACGCTTCTGTGACACGGCTACAGCATCATGTTATGCAAATGGTTCGAGTTTCGTTTTTGTTTTTCTGAAAACTTTATTACCGATACAGCATAAAAATAAAAATCATAACGACCCATGCCATATAGACAATGAAATGGTCTTTAGCCAAACATCTCCAGACATCCGCTAATTGCTGTGACGTTGACCGTTGCGCGACTGTTGGTGCGAGCATTTCAATTGCTGGTGACCTGTCGCTCAGATGCAGGCAGGCAGCCGCTGTGGCAGAAACTTGTATTGTGTGGCATTGCAAAAGCCCACTCGGGTACAAAAGTCAAATGTTATTGCCTTTTTTTGGCTAATGTTGTTGCACTTGCAGCGGCTGCATTCCTGCAACTGCATCGGCCATCAGGCAGCAGCTGTCTCTAACGACCATTGGGACGACAATGACGCATCTCTATTTACATATTTCGGTTTTGGTGTCAATAAATAAGCGCACAGTGGTCGAGTCAAGAAACATATATGCTAATGGTTTAATTAGCGTCATTAGACCAGCTGTCTGTCACTCACCTCTCTGCTCCGCGCGATGCTGCTGCTCGTCGATGGTGAAGCCGAACTTGTAAGGACGCACGGTGGTCACGGCAGCCAGGACATTACTCAGACACAGCGCCAGCAGCAGCAGCTTGAAATGAATGCGTTTCAATAATTTAACTCGTATCGTATCTTATTGGATCACTTTCACTTACGATTGCCACTGATTTTAGGCTCATTTTGGTTTCGTTGCTAGACTTTGATTTGTATTTAAATTAGGCACAAACTTATTTTATTTTCACGCCTCTTTAGTATACGATTATCGATGCAAAAAACCATAAATAATTGGGCATTTATATTTCAGTATAAATATTTCGAATATCGAACGGCGAACGACGCGTTTCTCACGAGATTTTTCGTTACGGAGCAAGCGTCACAGAATGGAACACACCCCACGATGTTCGGCAGCGAATTGACAATGTTGATAATATTAGTTAAACATTATAAAACATTAGAAGCGGACGTAGACGCTGCCCCAGCCTCTTGGCTCGTTCAGCTGGCTCTGTGTTTGTGTTCTGTGTTTTGTGTGTGTGCCTGGCAGAAGTAGCAGCAGCCGCCTCACGCCGCATCAAGTCTCTTGAAACATCATCCAAGCCTGAATGTCTGTGGCTGTCCACATATTATACGTACGATTATACTCGTATATAATATCAAGCAACCTGCATGGTTATTTGTGCGTTTATTTAAATCATTTGTCATTTATTTCAAGAATATTATTTGCATCAACGGCCAATGAAATAGTTTACAATTTAGTTAGCCAACCAATTGGTTTATGAACTTCCTTAGTGCCCGTGATGAGTTTTGGGCACAATTGAATTTGTTGTATATTCTCAAATATCAAATGATGGGCATTCAATAGTCTTTAGTATATTTTCCCCTGCTCAGCTAATCATGAGCTAATCATGAGGGATCGGAACTGTTTGTTCTACTGATTCATAAATTCAAAGAATAAATTAATTTCAAGAAGTGATTTCTCCCCTCTTCTGTTAAACTACGCCTCTTGTTGTGTGCGAATCGTAAATATTTGACGAATATTTTTGGTCTTTCAAGACATATTGGGCTAATTTCCCATACGGCATGTGCCGTTCTATAAAATGCATAAATATTTATTGCTTGACACCTACAAAACGTAACGATTGTGGGTTGTTGATTGTGGGCTGAGCTCAGCCACAGCAAATCACTTTTTGTCTGGACGTTGATATTCAATGACTGCACCATCAAGTGGCCATCATGCGATGGGCATCACCAAGCCAAAGCCTGTTACGCACGGAACCGTGCAGAACGTAGAACTTGGATTGGCTATTTGTTGTTAATTAAACGAATCGGCCTGGACCACTTGTCGGCCAAGCTGGTGGCAGCCAATCAATGGGCACGCCATCTGATTGATGAGCATATCTGAATGCAATGAGGAAGATGTTTGCACTAATGTCAGGGTGCACATTATCGACCAGCATTCGCAATCAGCGATCAGCGTGTCCTCTGCCGGATGCTGGCAGCCAATTGTAATTGAAATATTGCCATCAAGTTTGGCAATGACTGATGATGTGTGCACAAATTTGCATATTAATTGCCATAACTGTTTGCTTTTGAGTGTGAGAGCATAAGTAAGTAATTTGCATGAGGCACGAACTCGCACGGTCCAGTAAGTCATCAAGCGCAAAAGTATGCCACAAAATGTTCAAGTTCGTTGTCTAAGTCATTCGATTTGCAAAACACATTAATGGGAACGCCTGTAAGTAGGCTCCGCTTTTTGGCCAGCAATATGGATAGCAGAAATTTTGTGGCGAGGTAATTGCTCTAACGACTAAGGAGTTGTACCCATTAATATAGCAAATATTTTCATGGAGGCACTTCAAATACCCTCTAATCACTTTTTTAGCCCTGTTGATGTTTCATTCGAATATCTTGTGAGGCAGAGAGAGAGAGTGATAGATAGAGAATGTGGAAAGGAACACCAAGCCACTCAATGATCCACAAATATTTGTTGATAATGACAAAAACACCGCTTGACTAAGTGCGTTCTTTGAGAAGTGAGATAAAAATGGCACTACCAAATTCTAAACACAAATTCTAAATAATCATTAACATATTACTGGACTTTGTATTAATGTAAGTTTGAATTGATGCACCAAATACTCTTTCCACCTGAATATTTGTTCCTGTATCTGTATTTTCTGCAGAGCTTATCAAACTTTTTCATCTGTTATCATCTGCACTGCCACACCATATTAGTTTCTGGCAGTTTGATATCAAAACAATATTGTTTATGTACTCATTTTTCTTTAATATTCAACAAATTTTGGGGCTTTTGACTTAGATCCTTTTCCTTTTAAAGTAAAGGTTTGGAAAATCGGGCTGGGGAAATTAACAAGGGACTCGATGGCATTAAAGCTGCTTAGGTTGGAAGCAACTCAACTTATGCCTCGGGGGCAACGGGCAGATGAGCGCCCTGGGGCTGGAAACCGTTCTCATCAGCGATGTAGGTGACCTCGTAGGTGACGCCATCATCAGCGACGAACCTGTAGGATCCCTTGACGGAGATGGCCTCCTGCTCGGTGCCGATGTTGTTCAGCTGTCCCACTGCGTCGGCGGCCTGACCATCGCTTGTCTCCCAACTATCCAAATTTGTTTACGGTTAGTCCTGATCCTCGATGTTGAGTTTGGTTAAGGACTTACCCGTATTTGAAGCTCTCGGGTCCAACATCCGATTCTAGGCGGAGGATTACCGCATCTTCAGAGCGGCTAGGGGGAGCGGCGACGGCCAGGGCGAAGAGGGCAACGAAGACAATGAGGAACTTCATGGTGATTGTTGGTTTTTGTGGTTTGAGGTCTGCGGTTCTCGAACAGTTCGCGACGAATGGTACCAACTGATGGCGGCTGGAACCCTTTTATAGTTCGCAAGCTCTTCGCGATTATTCAAAGTGCGGCCGACTAACTAGTCAAACATGTCCAAAACATAATCGGCAAAGTCAATGTTAATGCGATGTGTCTGGTTTGGGTCTTCGTTTTGGCTTGGAGTTTGCTCGTTTAAGCGCCTAAAACGAAGTTTTAATATATGCCATGACATGCCATGCCGAAAACTAAACTTGAATAGAATCGAAGCACATAAATATTTCATTATTCAAATTTACAAAACACTCTTCTTTTTTTTATTTAGATTTTATTTGTCTAGTATTTTTGATAAAAGTTTCCAATAAATCTGTTACAAAGCTGCGTGCAAAGTAGACCCAAATGACGTCAGAGAAGCTTCAAAGATATTTTCCAATCGTGTGGATTCTGCCTGCTAGTATTGATGGAAACAATGATCATTGGGTATTTGGGATTTTGGGAATGCTCGCTTTATTTGGCTTAAACTAGCGATGGATCCTAGGCCACCAGTCGGAACTTTGGATGATAGCCAGTCTCGTCGGCCGTGAAGCTGATCTCGTATTTCTTGCCATCAGGAGCCGACCAGCTGGTGGTGCCCGTCACAGAGAGCGAGCCGTCATCTTCGGTGGCGCCGGGCTTTACGACGCCCTCCTCAGTACGGGATATGCCATTGCTGGTCTCGTAGCTGCAACATAAAATAAAGTCCACAATTAGAGACACCCACAGACGCCTCAAATATAGCTATACCCACGCAAAGGAATACTTGTCCACGCCATTGTTCTCGCTCTCCAGCTTCAGGGTCTCCGCCTGGGCATCGTCTCCGGCTGGGAGCGCGAGGCAGACGCCAGCTGCCACAAGTAGAATCAAATACGTACTGAAATGGGAAAGCATCGTCGGGCACACTTGGCTGCACTTTACTGAGCTGTTGATCGATTGCTTTCAGCGCTTTTATACGTCGGCGGATTGTTAGAACTTCTAGACAGTGTCCTCATCGGCAAAAAATGCAAAAAACACTCGTACGAATAGATAGTAATAAAAACAAAGGAAAGCGAATCAAGAATAATGAAAAAATTCAATAAAACACATTTTAATTACAGATTAACACATTTCCATACCCATCAATCACTGGGTGTAATCGACCAGGCAGATAGAATGCAACAAAGTCTCTTTAGAAAAGACTCCCAATAGAGAATATTAATGTATAAATATATCGATGTATGGCACCCTATGCAAATCTATCAAGCAAGAAAGAGTGTTACCCAGTCGAGAGTCGTTAAGTTTAGGCCGCTGCGCGTCGTGCATTGTGTTTCTGCCATTGTCATTTCTCATATTATCATCGCAAGAATGAATATATGTCTGTATGTATGTACATGTAGTTTTGGAATTAAATTCAATTAGTAAATCAATCACCCGACCAACCGTAAGACGTTCTGAAACTCTGTTCTTGCACCACAAACACTCGTATTATTGTTTAGTAGCTTCAAAATCAAATTATCATGATGCAATATAAACCATTGCTTACAGATCCGTTCCGATTGTCCCCTCTGGATATTGTGTAACCAAATCGATTTAAAAACATTTTTTGTGTTTACTTTTAGGTACTCATATTTCTTTAATATTCAACAAATTTGTGGGGGTGGGCTCTTGACTTAGTTCTCGCTCCTTTAGAATAAGGACACAAGAATGGGGGTTGAGGAAGTTTTTTGGGAAGGTAACAAGGGCTTTAAAGCTGCTTGGCTTGGAAACAACTCAACTTATGCCTCGGGGGCAACGGGCAGATGAGCGCCCTGGGGCTGGAAACCGTTCTCATCAGCGATGTAGGTGACCTCGTAGGTGACGCCATCATCAGCGACGAACCTGTAGGATCCCTTGACGGAGATGGCCTCCTGCTCGGTGCCGATGTTGTTCAGCTGTCCCTGCTCCTGGGCGCTGATTCCGTTGCTGGTCTCGTATCTATCCAAATTTGGTCATAGTTAGAGCAGATCCTTGATTTTTAGTTTCGTTAAGGACTTACGCATAGTTGAAGCTCTCGGGTCCTACATCCGAATCGGAGCGGAGAATCTGTGCACCTTCGTCAGCAGTGGGAGCGGCCAGAGCCAGGGCGAAGAGAGCAACGAAGACAATGAGGAACTTCATGGTGATTGTTGGTTTTTGTGGTTTGAGGTCTGCGGTTCTCGAACAGTCTGCGACGAATGGTACCAACTGATGGCGGCTGGAACCCTTTTATAGTTTGCAAGCTCTTCGCGATTATTCAAATCGCTGCCGACGAACTGGTCAAACATGTCCAAAACATAATGTAAAAAGTGTGATATTGGTTTTGGGTTAGGGCTGAGTCGTCAATCGAGTCTATGATACTGACTTGTGTATAAAACCATTTCCCGCCATGCCTTTCAGGCAGATTCACAGGTCCACTGTTGTTGTACTCCCACTGTCAGTATCGGGGCATTGCTTTTCATTGAATTCCATTTACATGCTCGCACACGCATAAATCTAGTTCAGTTTATAAAACAGGTGATTATTTATGGGATTCAGTGCTTCAAACATTGTAAAACTCTTGTACTCGTTTTTACAAACACATTAAAACAGAACCTAACGAACTGATTAGCAGATTTATTTTGTTTTTGCAAGTTATTTGAAAATGTTGTTTATAATTGCGCATAATTAATAGACTTAGCTATAGGAATATGAAATGAAAACTAGTATTTAAGTTGTCCTATTCCCTATCCTTAATTCTAACAATCCTCTACGAAAAATGACCACCTATGGCTCATACATATATTTTTTCCTGTTTTCATATCAGCTATCTATAATTAATGTAAGCAGCTTACAAATATAGTTTCCATTTGAATAGAGCTTTCCATACAACTTTCTTTATTTAAGGCAACATTTTAAACTTCAAAAGTATACATATAAATTGAAAAACATTCCTTTTAGACCCCACAGATACTTTCGTTTTGTGAAGGTAAACTTCTTAGCTGAAAGTTAAGTTGGCTTTCCCGAAAGTTTGTAATTGAAAAGAATTATTGTAATTATGTACTCATTATTTTCTTTATTATTTAACAATTGACTTAGATTTTGATCTATTCGAATGGATTTCGAAGGATTAGATCGCTTTTGGGATATTTTTTGGGGATATTAACAAGGGTACCACTAGTTGCCACTGAAGTCGCCGAATCGAATCTACCTTCGTTCAGCTGAATTCGGTTCCCTCGGTGCCCGTCTACTCGCGGCCTCCCGACCTTTGGCAAGAGCAGCCGCTACATCAACTGCCACATCCAGACAGGCAGTAGCCGCTGCTTCCTCATTCTAGGGAATTGCCGCTACCGGAGTAAGAGCCTAGGTTAGTTGTTCAGGTGTCCTTCCGCCTGCGCCTACCACGGTAGCGACCAGAGGTCTTGCATCAACTTCGGGAGCCCAGGATGCAGGCTTAGCCTTGCCTCCTGAAGGTGTAGTCGCCTTCCTCGCCGCTTCCGGTCCCGCTTCTCCCGTTGCTTCCGTTACTCCTTGAAGTACCACTAACAACCAACAAACAACAAACCAGAAGCCAAGAGCTTACTACGGTTTGCTACCAACCGTCCACGCTTTTATAGTTATCAAAACATTTGATATCTGTCGCCAATATTTAAAGTGCGGCAGCGGAACTAGTCAAACTTGTAGCAAACATAATTCATGAGATCCACGAACAGATCTGAATACAACAACTAAATGTGAGCCAGACTGTGCTTATGATGCACCATTCTCTATGACAGTGAAATGTTCTCTGGCGAAATACGAGTGTATTTTATTGAAGAAATTATTAACTTAAACTTTTTATACCCAGTACTCGAAGAGTAAATAGGGTATATTGTATTTGTGGGGAATAACGGTTGTATGTAACGCACAGAAGGAAACGTTTCCGACCCCATAAAGTATATATACGAGTCTGCAGTGTGTGGGTCTAGGGAAGGGCGGCGAGCTAACGGAGCATGTTGGTGTGAGAAGTGTTGTAGATGTAGATGACAGATGAAGAAAAAATTTAAAACAGATGTAGTACTGAGTGCCGGGTATGAATTTTGTGACTCGTAAGAAGCGTCTCACACGTCCCTTCTTGTTTGGTTATTGTTTAATCCAATTGGTTGTCCATCAGCAGACTGGTATATCTAAGAACCTGCCACATTTTCCTCATGACGAATATTAACCGGGCCATCGTTTAAATGGATTCCAGTATCCAAGCTATTTACAAAAATAAGTCTTGTGCTTTGATTTTAATCATTTTTCGTGTGACTTTCGTGTGCCACAGCCAAACGGATAATAAAGAGAGTACATATTTTCATAGTTTATGCTTTTTTGAAGATAAAAGAAAACTAAAAACGCCATTCCGTATGGAATGACCATATCTATTAGATCTCGGACAAAAAACGCTAAGGTACAGATGCATTTGTTCCAGTTTGCAAATCAGCTATCTGGAATTAATTGAAGCAGCTTACAAATATAGTTTCCATATTAATAGAGCTTTCCATTCAGCTTTCTATATATTAGGCATAATTTCGAAACTTCAAAAGTATCCACATAAAGTACAAAATATTACTTTTAGACTCCACAGATAATTTCGCTTTGGAAAGGTAATTACTTTAGCTAAAAGTTAACTTGACTTCCTTTAGTTCCCACAGAACCACTCTGCCATCAAACCAGAAATTTTTGAATTTAATAGAATTATTGTAATTAGGTACTCATTATTTTCTTTATTATTAAACAATTGACTTAGATTTTGATCTTTTCGAATGGAATTCGAAGGATTATATCGCTTTTGGAATATTTTTTGGGGATATTAACAAGGAATGGTGATCAACGGTGACTTCAGCGGCTTAGCTTAGATGGAAGCAAGTCGACTTAAGCCAAGGGAGCCACGGGCAGATGAGCGCCGGAGGGCTGGAAACCGTTCTCGTCGGCGATGTAGTTGACGGTGTAGGTCTGTCCGTCATCGGCGACGAAGGAGTAAGATCCCTTAACGGCGATGGCCTCATTCTCGGATCCAATGTTGTTCAGGTGTCCTTCCGCCTGCGCCTTGGTGCCATCGCTGGTCTCCAGAACGTAGTTGAAGCCCTCGGGTCCTACGTCCGAATCGGAACGGAGGACTTCCACATCAGCGGAAGGAGCGGCGAAGGCCAGGGCGAAGAGGGCAACGAAGGCAATGAGGAACTTCATGGTGATTGTTGGTTGTTTGTTGTTTGGTCTTCGGTTCTCGAATGATGCCAAACGATGGTTTCGTGCACGCTTTTATAGTTAACAAAACATTTGATATCTGTCGCCATTATTTAAAGTGCGGCAGCGGAACATAGTTTAAATTGATTCCAGTATACCAGTATACCAGTAGTCCAGTTAAAAAATAAATCTTTTGCTTTGATTTTAATCATTTTTCGTGTGACTTACCTCAATGCGCCGAGCATTACATCCTCAGCATGTGCCACAGGGAAAAGGATAATGAAGAGAGTAAATATTTTCATGGTTTATGCTTCGAACTGTGTGACAGGAATAAGATAAACCGATTTCTGAAGGAATCCTTTTATACGAGGAACAAATCCCTGCAAATCCCCAGGTTAAACATGTGTAAAGAATGTAAAAGATGATTCAGTATTCTGGTTTCCATAATAGTGTTAGAAAGAAAAAGAACTTTCAGAGCATACGCTATTCCGCCAAGTAAGGAAATAAGCGTGAAGAATGTAAGCGGCTGGTCAGCAAAAGCTCCATCTGTATCTGCCAACAATAAATATGTAAATCGAGCAGACACATTTATGCAGATTCATGACCAACCCACAATTGGGCATGGCAAGTACGTCAGCAGCAGCAGCAGCAGCAGCATCAAATGAAGAGCAGAAGCAGAAGCAGCATGGCAGCAACATCATTCAAAGCGATCAATCGATGGGCATCGGCATCGGCTTATCCCAAACTAGTTTGATCATTGTCACTTTTTTTTCATGCATATTAATGCGATTGTTGGGCCTGTGCTGTGTGTGTGCTTTATGTGTGTATTTCTGGCTGGCTGGCTGGCTGGCTGGCTGGCTGGCATCGGCGTGTATCTTCAAAAATTTCATTAGCATCGCATGAAATTTAAATCAGCGCCAGAAATTAACCTTCAGAAACTTCGTTTTCATTCGCTCGCACATATGTACGTACGTACATTTCCATATGAGCGGCTTTAATTATGTATTAATTACAAAGAAAACAAAAAACCCAAACAAGTTTCAACGTGCCAAAAATTTGCAAATTTCAGCCATACGAAGGTCAGCCAGCCAGCCGTACGGACGAGACAGCAAAATCGATGCTGTACAACGTTGCGTATGGAGAATATAGGTAGAAATATACAGAGAGCTATACAGAAGCCTATACAAAGCTATACAAAGCTTCTTTTGCGTCATACTTTTCTTTTCAATATGCGCCCAAACATGTTATGCATATTATTATGCCACACAAAAAAGAAAACGAATCTTGGGATTTGCATAGCATTTACATTGATCCGGGTTCAAGGAACGCTACTAGAACCTCTCTGTGATCCAATTCTTTTAGTGATTTATCATGATTACTATTATTAGAATATTTTATGGATATATTTTACAAAAACGAACAAATACTGTTTGAAGCTTAGCCACACACGACGCACAGCTCGACTTAGTTGTGGGGCAGATGATCGCCCTGGGGCTGGAAGCCATTCTCATCGGCAATGTAGTGGAGGGTGTAGGTCTGGCCATCGGGCGCCACCCAGCTGACGGATCCACGCACACTGAGCGCCTCATGATCGGTGCCGGCATTCTTCAGTTCAGCCTGCTCCTGGCGGGTGACACCATCGCTGGTCTCGTAGCTGAAATTAGCCAATGAATATTAGTTAAGGAAAGCTGTTCGCCCCCCTCCAAAAACACTCACCCAAAGTTGTAGCCATCGGTGCCAATGTTTTCGTTGTCGTAACGCAAAATTGTGGCCTGCTTGGAGTCATCCAAGGGAGCGGCACCGATCGAGGATACGAGCACAAAGGCGCACACTGCCAGGACACAACCGTTGATGGACTGCATACTTTCTTTTTTGTTTGTTTAAGTTTCTTGGGAATATCCTTTGTTGAATTTTGGGCACTGCACGCTCCGGTAGTTGTCACAATTAGGTGCTAACGAGTTGTGTGGCGCCCTGTAATGAGTGTTCAGCTATTTATAACAGACCAGTGCTCCCCCACAAACACACACACACACACACACAGACAGCCGTCGATCCGTGAAGAAATCCCACAAAAGACACGTACAGTGGTGGCCCATAACAAACACCTAAAAGTCCACCCATACGCATATAATTGAAGGCAAGCGAATGTGTGTGTGTGTGTGCAAGTGTGCTGGTGAGTGTCTTAAGCTTTTAATTGAACAAGCCACAAAAAAACAACAACAACAACAACAATCCCAAATACGAGTATGAAAACCCATTAGGCATTTGATGTGCGCTCAAATCTCATCTCAATTGCCTCGCCACGGGAGCTGGCAGCAAACCAATGGAAATGGAGATGAAGAAGGAGACTGAAGATCGCAGATTGAAGATTGAAGATCGGATATGGCGATGAAGATGAAGATGGGGCATGATGGAGCAAGTGATAATGAAATGTTTGGGCCTCTTCACAAATATTTGGCCAATGCGCGTGTTTGTCTATAAGTACAACACACACACGAACGTACGTATGTACGATATATATGGCAATAGGTCAATGGCTATGTTTGCACTTATAAACAAATTGTTATGAAAAAGATAAGCCACAAAAAACACGTGAAAGGAGAGGTAGCATGGGATGGCGAAGCATTAGATACACTGCCAGGTAAGTAATTGCAGGAAGGTTTAAGCGGAAATTAAGCTACAACTGGGAGATTCATAATGGAATTACTTTCAGGAATAAACAATTTAATGAACGAAGTCTTGCCTTTCAACCGATTTTTCCTTGAAAGTTAAATAATCATAATTAATAATAATCAAAATAAATATAAATAAAATAAAATAATTAACCTGATGTGCAATTTAAAACTTATTACCCCTTGCAAGGGTATTTATCGCAGGGTAAAATGTGAGTTGTATAAACTGAATGAAACAAGAATAATCTCAAATAAGTACTTAGATAAGCAGTAAGGAAGTGTGGACAACATAACTACCCAGCAACATCAGTAGGAAATAATTTTGAGCTTACAACCAAAGAGCTGGCAAAAGAGTTTCAAGTTGGGGTTCATAGAACCCTGAAGTAAGCAAAGAATTTAATTAAGTAAAAACTTTAATTGAATAGTATTTAAATTGGTGAAGTGCGAATGCTACTTGTTGGATAAGCATTTCCGCCCTGAGACAACTGCCGCTGCTGACTGCTGACACAATTCCCGATTAAGGCTGGGCGTTTTAACCTCCAAAGTTATTCCAACGAAACGAAACGAAATGAAACGACACGATACGAAAAACCTCCACAGCTGCATTTGTGCTGTTCAAGTGAAGATGCGGCACCGTCATCATCGCCCATCACAATCACCAGCACCCAGCGTCAGTGCCTCCAGTGGCTCAGTGCCTCGGCACTCTGCGCCTCAGTGCCGCAGCATCGAAGCTTCAGCCTCTGCTTCAACGTCAGCATCGTCGGCCTGTGTGTTGGTTGATGACCTTAGTCAATAAAATAAAAAACCGATTTTGTTTTTTGTGTGTTACGAACAAGCAAGCAGAAGCGTCAGACAACAACAGCCAATATCTGACACTTTCAGTTCAGTGTCTGCGTTCGGACTATGCCCTACAATATCCCAAGCTGGCGACTGCAGGAGCCCCCAAACAATGGAAGCCCGCTCGTCAATCATTGCAAGATGCTGCCTGGTAGGGCCGAGACAGGAGCTATTATTTCGCACTTAGCGATTGATAAACGAGTGGAGGCTGCCTAATAGCCCAACAATGGTCTGTCCCGGGAACGGCGAGTTCTCACTTTCGTTGCCCAGCATTGTGTTTGGCTGTCGTTTTGGGTCTTCTTTAATTGTTGCTGGATTTTTTGGTGTTTTATTTTATTTCTTTTTTGGCAACCTTTGTTGGGTGTTTATTGAACCGGTTTGGTCAGCTCCTCTGTTACGGCATACCATATACACCCCATATCCATTTCTGACGGCAGGGGCAGGGAGCTGCGGGGCAGTGGATGAGCAAACAAGTTTCGAAGAGGCTCATACAGATGTATATGCTAATACCCATATGCTTAGAATACAATTCAATTTTCGATGGGTGAAAATGTATGCCCAGCATCGTCGGCACAGTCGGACACAGCCCCAAACACATGAGTCTACGAATATACGAGTATCTATACCTACTTATTGCTATATATTTTTTAATTTCTATTGTGTCTGCTCTGCTCTGCTCCTCTTCTGCTCCTCCTCCACCCCCTCCTTCTGCTACATATTTGGTGATTTAATTTGTTTCACAAAGTCCAAAAGCTATCACGTGATCAGTGTTCAGTGTTCAGGCCGTGCGAGTGCCTTCCAACTGTGGCAGATGCGCGCCCTGTGGCTGGAAACCATTCTCATCAGCCAGATAGTTGAGTTTGTACTGCACGCCATCGGGTCCCACCCAATTGACGCTGCCTTGGACGGCAATGGCCTCCAATGGGGTGCCGGGATGCTTCAACGTGGCCGTCTCCTGCCGCGATATGCCATCGCTCGTCTCGAAACTGCAGAGAAAGCGATAGTTCTTTCAGTATTTATCCAAGCAAAATGCACAGCCACATACTTACGAGAAGGCATAGCCATCGCCATCCATTTTCTCATTCTCGTATTTCAATATTTGTGGCACATCTCTGGCCGCATCAGAGTAGCACAGGAAGAGGCAGAGGCACAGACTGAGGCAGCAGCCTGCCAGGATGTGGTTCATCAACGTTTGTCTGGCGGCCATCTAGCTGTCCATGTACCTGTCCTGCGCCGATCCGCGCTTGCGACTAACGCGAGTTGCGATAATCTGTACCATATATCCCCCAATTCCCCAAACCCAAACCAATATCGATACTTTTTTGAGTCGAACTTTGAGGCTAATTAACGGCCAAAAGCACCCGCCGAGTGTGCAATAAAATGCAAACAGCCAACAAATGACTCGAAAACAAAGCTAGAAAACAAAAAAAAAAGTGCCACCACAAACCCCAAATCAAGTCTAAATGAAATTGAAAGCTACAACAATGCGAAGATGTTCGCCAAAAAGTTCAAATGGTCAAACGGGCCTTAACCCTCTAAAAACTCAGCAATTATGTCTAGGAGTTGTCTGTTTGAAATGGGATTTTCTTGGCTGTAAAAGGATGTGGTTGGAGAGGCTAAAAGGCACAGAAATCGGAAATATCAGTGGAAATATTTCCATATGGAAATGCGATGCCGGATAGTGTTTATAAAAAAATAGTGTTTATCTATTTTTTCCCGACCTTTGGCTTTGCATTTCACTTGCACTTGAGCTAAATTCAAGCTGTGACCCAATTATTTCCCACAATTCATCAATTCATTCATTCATTCGACTGTTTCTAAGCAAAGTAACGCAACTCATGGCGCGGGGCTGGGCACTTTGTGTGTTTAATTTGTATAAAACAAACGAAATCTATGTACCTTGTCGCTGGCTGAGCAATCAATCAATCGCCAAACAAGCAGTCAACTGGTTAGGTAACAGCCGCCGTCTCACAGTCTGGGTCAAAGGAAAAGAAATGAGAAACGGGTTTTCGCTCACTCTTGCACTTACTCTTTCATTATTGGATGGTTGGGCTTGGGTTTCGGCTTCTCTGATAATTACACGCACAACTATACATTACATTATACATTGCCAAAGGAGTCATCTGTCGCTGGTCGAAAATCGCGAGTCGCTGCTGCTATAAATTGGCCACTCGATGGGGGAATTGCATGCATTAACTGCAAGCTCCTCGTACGCACAGCACTTCAGCCTAGTCCCAACAAAAATCACCAGCAACATGAAGTTCACCATTGCCACCGTTGCCTTCTCCGTCGCCTGCCTGCTGGCCACTGCCATGGCTGCTCCTCCGGCCAGCCAGCAGGAGGCGCAGGTGCTGCGCTTCGACTCGGATGTGCAGCCCGAGGGCTACAAGTTCGCGTAAGTGTTGGCCATTACCTCTCACCCTGCCATCCTCCAATACCCGACTTGTAACTGTGTCAAGGTCGTAACACTTACTGGTTTTCTGTCTTTCATTTTTCGTCGTATGCAGCGTTGAGACAAGCGACGGCAAGTCGCACCAGGAAGAGGGCCAGCTGAAGGACGTGGGCACTGACCACGAGGCGATTGTGGTGCGCGGCTCCTACTCCTATGTTGGTGATGATGGACAGACCTACACCATCAACTATCTGGCCGATGAGAACGGCTTCCAGCCAGAGGGCGCCCATCTGCCCCGTGCCGTTCAGTAAATTAAATATCCGTTTGGAGTTTCCTAGAGGTTCCAGAGTCCCAGCATCAATGTGTTAACTATGTTTAAGTTTTCCCCTCAGACACTTCATTACAATAAACAAAAAATAATCATTTATTCCAAGAATTATAAAGATCTTAAGATGGGACTATCTAGTAGAAAAAACGTTCAGAAATCTTTAGCATCTTTAGATTTTTCCGACAGGTTCCTACTCCTGCTTGATGCTTTGGCAAATCTTTTAATTGTTACTTCCTTCGCAAAACTTTCTAGTTCAGCAAGTAGAATTTTTGGAATTTCTTAGGCATATTCCAAAAACTCTAAATACTTTTATAGAGAAAACCTATCCCTTGACTTCTCAACCTTCTAATTGAAGGAAAACCACTTCCAATTGTCAAATCATGCTATAATTTTTTGAAACGATTTTTTGCTGCAGGGCGTGAGCCCCTCTGCTGCCACGTACTCCCCTGAATATTATCTACACCCGTGGATTATCAAAAAAAATATCATTGTTGGCTGTTTGTTGTCTTCTTTGCGTATATAACTTGGAACTGATTGGTTTGATTGATTCACGAAAAATGCAAATGATGATGAGATGAGATGAGATGAGGTATTTCCTAAAAACGGCATCGATTTGTTTGCCTTAGAAGTTTTTGGTTTTTGTTTTTGTTTCTCGTTAATATTTCTTTGTTTTTGTTTTCTTGGTGTTTTTATTCGTTGTTTCATGCGTTGTTGGTGCGTTTTTCAAGACAATTTGTTAGCTTTGGTGCTCGGCGTGTAATTAGTCATTTTTATTTTCGACTAAGTTTTCTTCAATCGACGGCCTCCGACCCGACTATATAAGCGCCTGGACATGGCCATAGACATCACAAATCAAGTAACATTGACTAGCCGCTCGGTCGCAAGTTCAACTCGAATCAAAACCAAAATTCAAATCCAATCTTCAGCATGAAGTACACAATTGCCCTCGTCTTTGCCGCCCTCTTCGCCGTGGTGCTGGCTGCGCCCGCACCCGATGCAGATGCTCAGATCCTGCGCCTGGAATCGGACGTCAGGCCCGAGGGCTACAACTTTGAGTAAGTCTTTTGAGGCGGGAAGCTTGAAGGATTATCCCACTGACAATCAAATCAAACCCTTGACAGTTTGGAGACCAGCGATGGCAAGAAGCACCAGGAGGAGGGAGAGCTGAAGAATGTCGGCACCGAGCAGGAGGCCATCGTTGTCCGCGGCTCATACTCCTTTGTGGCCGATGATGGACAGACCTACACCGTCAACTACATTGCCGACGAGAATGGTTTCCAGCCCGAGGGCGCTCATCTGCCCAATGTGCCAATTGGCAACTAAAAGGGGAAGCGGGAACACAAACCGAGAGCTGTTCTAACTATAATGGTTTTAAGTTGATTATTAAATAAATGCGGCAAAAGAAACTCTAACTTTCGTTCTCCCCTTTCTCCCCACTGCAGTTGTGTGGAGAAGTGAATCTGGTTATGTGACAATCCAATACAATAGTTAGACACGCGCATTCCGCTATTTGTTTGAGTTAATCCAGTTTGACCGGAAACAATGATGCGATGCGCTCGCTCATTATCTAAGCAGAATCGATACACATAAATTCCAAACTGGCCAAAAAATTGTGCGGCCACCTTTGACTTTTGCATTTTGTAAGATATGCGCGAGTATAAATGCCCCCACCCAAGTGCAGTGGAGCATCAGACAGTTGTCAGCATTCCCAGGAATACAACAGCCAGCCGCCACCTTCAAACTTCAACATGAAATTCGTCATTGTTCTCGCCTTCGCCCTGTTCGCAGTGGTCGCCGCCCGCCCCAGCGCTGTGGAGATTGTCCGCCAGAGCTCCGACGTGGGAGTTGAGAGCTACAACTACGGCCTGGAGACCAGCGATGGCACCAAGAAGGAGGAGAAGGGTGAGCTGAAGAACCTTGGACATGAGGATGAGGCCATCGTTGTCCACGGATCGTACTCCTTTGTCGCTGATGATGGTGTCACCTACACCGTCACCTACGTTGCCGATGAGAACGGTTTCCAGCCCTCGGGCGCTCATTTGCCCGTTGCCCCCGCTGCCTAAACTGGGCTCTTCCACACACGCACACAATGATGAATGAATAAAAAGAAAATCAATTTGTTTAAAACAAAACAACTCAATGAGCTTTTATTTCCTCCCATCCATCCTAACCCATTTATCAAATGTATTTTTGATGCAGTCAACTGAGTTACAGATCTGCCTTAAATTAGCATCTGCGTGGTCTGTATTGCATTTACATGTATTAACACCAAAGTGAGCGACTATAAATAGACAGGTGACCCAGCCAAACAGCATTAGTTATCTTTGGAGTCTCCAACGAGTCAACGAGTCTCCGCTCAATCCCCCGCCACACCATCAAAATGAAGTTCGTCCTTGTCCTCATTGCCCTGTTCGCCCTGGCCGCTGCCCGTTCCAATCAGGATGCGGAAACCCTCCGTTACGATTCGGACGTTCAGCCTGAGAGCTACCAATACAAGTAAGCCACAAAATACAGAGCAAAATTCCAAGTGGCAGCTACTAATTTGAGTTATTTTTACAGCGTGCAGACGAGTGATGGCAAGTCGGTTTCGGAAGAGGGACATTTGGAAAATGTGGGCACTGAAGAAGAGGCCATCGTCGTGAGGGGCTCCTTTTCCTACGTTGGCGATGATGGACAGACCTACACCATCAACTACATTGCCGACAAGAACGGCTACCAGCCCCAGGGCGCTCATATTCCTGTTGCCTAAGTTCAAGTCAAATTAAAATAAATCAGTTTATAAGGTGAAAAAAATTGTGTTGTCTTTTCGGTTGGTACTTGTGGTCTGATTTTTTTGGTCATTTTGAATGATTGATCTTAATTTTATGGCTTTCAGTGAGTATTTTTGGTCTGATTTCTTTGGTCATTATGAATGATTGATCTTAATTTTATGGCTTGATATTTGTTTCTTCCTTCCTCCTTAATGACTTGAAGATGATAACCTAACATAACAATAATAATTATTATTAAATAACAAGCCATTAAAACATATTTAGATCCATTCTTTTCTCTTCGCAGTAAAACGAAATAATAAAAAAATAAACTAAATATAAATCTAAATTAGTTAAAGATCTGTTAGATACTTGAGTAACTAACTTAAAACAAACCAATTCCAATTCCATTTCCGACGATTATTTAAAATTGAAATAAAAGTTCTATATAAACTTAATTATTATTAAATTGAATTAATCGGATTTATTCGATAAATCCATTGAAGAGTAGAAGCTACTGAATATTTGTTCCTTTATGGAACTCAAAATCTTCGTTTGGTTTCTTTGAAAATCCAAATATATTATATGAATTGCTGCTAACCAATCAAATTAATTCCAAAGCACTAGTTGAAGTTGCCTTCAAATGTTTCAATCGAACTAACTCCATACTTTGACTGCAAATATCCCTAGGCATTATCGTACCCCGTACACAAAGAATATTCAATTTTTTTTATAAACAATTTATTTTAATTTTAAAAACTTATGCCTCGGGGGCAACGGGCAGATGAGCGCCGGAGGGCTGGAAACCGTTCTCATCGGCGATGTAGTTGACGGTGTAGGTCTGTCCGTCATCGGCGACGAAGGAGAAAGATCCCTTAACGGCGATGGCCTCATTCTCGGATCCAACGTTGGTCAGGTGTCCCTCCTCGACCTTGTTGGTGCCATCGCTGGTCTCCAGAGCGTACTTGTAGCTCTCGGGTCCCACCTCCGACTCGGAACGGAGGGTCTGCACATCAGCGGAAGGAGCGGCGAGGGCCAGGGCGAACAGGGCAACGAAGACAATGAGGAACTTCATGTTGAAAGGATTGTGTAGATCGTTGAGGTATTCAAAGATAACTATACTGTTAGGCTGGGGCATCTGCTTATTTATAGTCTGATTTTGAGTTGAGCAGTCGAGCGGCGGGAACTAGTTTCAAATTAAATATCGATGAAAGAGACATAACTTGAAATCAATACTAGTTTTTTGGCCAATAAACCACATGTATGGAAATTCATTTAAAACATTTGTTATTAATAGATGTAGTCTGTGTGGCAGAAACTTCTTCTGGGGAATCGTTTTTGCATACCGATTGAGTCCATTCTTGACAGACATTAGATAATGTTTTTGGAACTGTTTTCTTTTCATTTTCATTGCCCCTCAAACAGTGAGCCTCTCAATTAACACTGTCCAACCTCAGTCCAGCTGGGGTCCGGTCATGTCTGGATGATATGATGATGTCTTCACTCCAAGTGCTAATTGCATTAAGCCTTTGGCTCTTTTGCACCTATAAAAGCCTTCACAGGGCGGCAGTAGAGCCAGAGCAGTAGCAGCCAAAGCCCAAAGATGAAGTGTGTACTCCTGATTGTCTTCGTATCGATTGCCCTGTGCATGGCAGCGCCCGCCGACAATGTGCAGATCGTCAAGCTGGAATCGCAGGTCTTGCCCGATGGCTACAGCTATGCCTATGAGACGAGCGATGGCAGCAAGCAGGAGCAGCAGGCCACACTCAAGAAGCTGGGACCCGAAGAGGAAGCCCTTCAGGTGACCGGCTCCTACTCTTATGTGGGAGACGATGGTCAGACCTACACCGTGACCTATACCGCCAACGAGAATGGATTCCAGCCACAGGGCGAACACATTCCCCATGTCTAAGCTCTGGCTTTTTGGCTTATTTTTAGTCTGTTTGTTGTAAATAAATGTTGATGGAAATTTTGTTTCGATAATCGAAAGGTTCGGCTTTAATGCGAGTAACAAAGAATAGAGAAAACAATGCACGACACTGACTTGACTGACTGATCGACTTACTAACTGAGGACTTACTGACTGGCACGGCACGGCACAGCACAGCACCTCCTTCACTCTCTTCGTATGGCTATGGCTCGTCCTATGGTGGCGGTAAACATATGGGGGGATGCAGGATACAGGATGCGGGGACTGTTTGTGTATTTACAGGAGCATCTTCCGGGTGGTTTATCAAACATCATCCTATTTGGGTAGATGGGCACCTTCCGGCTGGAAACCATTCTCATCGGCCACAAAATTAATGGTGTATGTCTGTCCGTCGGGTGCCACCCAACTGACGGAGCCACGGATGGAGATAGACTCGTTCTCAGTGCCAGCATTGTTGACCGTACCCTCCTCGGAGCGTGTGGTGCCATCGCTGAGCTTGTAGCTGAACTTGTAGCCGCCAATGCCAATGTTTTCCGACTCGTACTCCAGCACCTCGACATCGTTCTGGGGACGGGCGGTGGCCAGGGCAATTAGGGCCATAAATCCAACGACTAGCATCTGTTCAAAGGACACCAAAGTTCATGTTATCCTTCAAAGGTTATCCATCGCATCGCATCCACTCTCAACGTTACCAGTTTCATCATGTTGCGCGATTCTCGTAGCTACGGTTTCACCTGCGAATGGACAAACTACCGACTGTCTAATGGTGGCGATGCACTGCCATCCACTGCATTTTATACTGACTGCACTCTCATGGGCCTGCATTTGCAAACGTCATAAATTTGCACAGTTGTGGAAGAAGCCAGCAAGCCAACAAACGTGGCTCTGGCGGTCGCCGGGTAAGTGTTTTTTTTTTGTTTTTTCTACTTCTATTACCAAAGATGCACCAAAGTCGCCAAAGTCGCTGCGACAAGTAACATTTAAAGCGGCTTTGTGCATCGATGTACTCGGCTGAAAGGTATTATAGTCAGGCAGCCAACCACCAACAGTGGCTGATGCTTTAGAAAATTTTGAAAAAGTTCAGGCAGCCAGATGAGGCATGGGTTGGGGAAAAGGTTGGGGACAGATGCCATGGGAAGCTAGAACGATGGGAAGCCAGCAACACAGGCAGAGAACTGAGCAGCAGCAGCAGCAGCAGCAGCCACCACACGACACAAAGTTCAAGTACTGTCGAGCGATGTAATTTGCAGGGCAGCAAGTTCAGGCAGCGGACACGAGCATGGGCACAGGCACGGGCACGAGCACTCCACTCTGTCTCTAATCTGGGCCTGAAGATGGGGCTGTGGCTTTGTCTCTGACTGTGGGCTCTGGTTACACATGTATATGACTGTGTGTGATGGCCAAAGTGCACGGCAGTCGGCATCTGTGCGAACTGGACAGGCTGTGCTGATGAAGATGGAGCCCCAGCATGACTTTTGGCATATGCAACGGCCTTTACAGCGTTCGATTGATGTGCTGTTGCTGCCTCTGCCTCTGCTGCTGCTGTGCCTGGTAACAAGCACCCCAAAAACAGTAAGAAATACGAAAAATCCATCGAGTAACCTACAACTACAGCTCGCATGCAATTTAAATCTCTGACTTTTGTGGTTTTTTCTTTCGATTTTGTTGTATTTTTCTTATTTTCTGTCTCCATTTTCTGTTTGCCAATTTATGCCACCTTCGTTGACCGCTACATGCCGACGAAGAAGAAGCCTTCGTTGAGCCGGTCAATCGAGTTTTTTTATTGGTCATCTGTCGGCCTCTGGCTCTCGCCATGGGTCTCCGTGTGCCCATCCTCGCCCTCCTACTCCTCCTCCGCCTACTCCTCTCTGCTCATCTCGTGGGCACACGGCAATGTCTGAAATTGTGCCAACAGCTTCATCTTCTTCCTAAGTCCGAGCATTGGCTGGGTGTTGGACATTTGGTTTGGCATTTCCTGCCAAATGCCGTTTAAAAATACATTTACTGCCAGCTGCAATTTGGCATTTTGACATTTTTTCCTATAGGTATTGTGGTTCCTTCCAGACAGACAAACGAAGGTGAACATCGTGGCAAACGTTCTGTGGACTTTAAGGAGAAGTATGGCCATCCCCTATCCCCTAGAGATCCAGCAGCAGCTACAGCTTCGGTTAACAAGGTTTTGGCCCTTGAAATCGAAACTGATTCCATTATTTCTGAAGACTGCATAATATTTCTTGGTTGATCTTCTTATGTGGCTTTTGGAGGGCATTTGCAGCGAGCTGCATTTATCATGCTGGATTTGCATAATTAATTTGGCTTTGATCGATCGCTCACAGTGTGAAGCGGTATGTTCGGGCTGTTCGGTGTGCGCGGGGGCGTTGTCAAAGAGTTTGGATATACTCCTATCAGAAGACCAAACAGCGTGAATAGATTTCTTCCTTATCGTTAAACTAAATATAAAAGCTATGCATTCATTTACATAACTGTTCTAATCAAGCTGCCCAATCGACAGGTTTTTCAACTTTAAGAACAAGAGATTCTCTTGTTTCGGGTCTTCGCTGTCGCTTTCGATAGAAACACCGACGCAAGACAGCAGACACAGTCCCAAATAAATATACACAGGCAGAAACATATCTATATGGATGCGTCTTCACATTTACGTCTTCAAGGTCAGCGCCAGATGCTGCTGCTTCTCCGCTCTGTCCGCCTGTCTGTTTGTCTGTCTTTCCGTCTGACTCGACTGTCCGCCTCGACTGGTCATTCAGCTGCCGTTTTGCTGCTGTTGCCAACTCGCTCGCTCTCAGGCGGCACGCACCTCGCCGCAGAGTGGATTGCCAGACCGGCTTTTGCCCAGATCGGCACGAGTTCGGGCTACGGAATCGGGTTTCGGTGTTTCGCTTCTCGGTTTTCGGACTCGGATTCCGATTTTCACGTTCAACCCGCCGGCACGGCACGGCTCTGCTCGCCGCAGCCTCTTCAAGTCGGTCTCTGCAAAATTAGCACTTGAGCGTTAATGGCAATGTTTTAATAGCCTGCTCCCCTCTACCCCTGGCACCCGCTCTTTCTGCTCTGACCAATCGCCCCCCACACTTCTTTAAGTATGTAAATGTCACATTGGTGTTGTTTTTTCATTTCTTTATTGTCACTCGAAGGTATTTCGTTTCGTAATATTTGCATGCCGCTAAAGGCAGAAACAGAAACACAGAGAAATACTCGCAGATATGCATGTACTTCTGCTGACACTTGACATTAAGAATGGTGCGTATAATTTAATATTATTGCTACCTCTGGTCATTTATTCGATTCTTTATTCGTCGCTTGGGATTGGATCTTCTCTTGGGTCACACTTGTTCATACAAACATGTTGTTTTTCGGGTTAAACGATCGATTGCCGTGAAGTGCAATTAAATTTAAATTTATTTGCAGCAAAAAGTACACTCCCATACACAGCCCTAATTACTATTATTTAGTACAAAAAATACGAGCTCTTTGGACATTTAATTGTTGCTGAAAGCATTTCAAAGTAAAATCCAGTTTTTAATTCATTTTCTTCGAGAAAAATCAAACGACTTAGGCAAGAAACTTGAGCCTGCTTAAGCGTCCTGCAGCTGCCATGGCATACTTTTAGGCAGTGGAGCTGCCAAGGAAAAATACTAAATAAATTAATATTAATGGTAATTTTGTAAGACATTAATTCTGATTAAAATCTATAAATTAAGTAAGATTTTCTGATATTTTCAGACATATGTAAATTTGTTTGCAGCAGCCGGTAATTTTTGCAGTAACTCCAATAAGCTTATGCAGTTTTACCTTCATTCAAAAACATTTATCAACGTCACAGAAATAGTCCAGATGAAAAGATAGAAGAGAAAGGCCCCTCGCCACTAATAAATATCATCCAAAATCGCTTAATGATTTTTGTAGAATTTTTTTTGACTTGGAAATGTTCTTACATTTGTTCATTTTATTCAATATCTGTGCACTATAATCAGTTAAAATTGTTGATATATTTTGAATATTTCCCACTGATTAAGCACGCGACTGCAGCGTGCCCTCAAAATCCCCATAAAAATGTGCACATTATTTGCACATAATATTTATAATCACAGCATCTCTCATTCGCATCTGTTCGTTTGCCTTTTGTTTACATTAATGCATTGCGCAACAAACAAGTTGCCGATTTATGACGACCACTCTTGGGTGATGAATCGTTTTTATTTGCTTTTAATAATAAATAAACCTAAAGCAGTTGACACTGTTTTGTCCACTATGGCTGTTAATTCGAAGAGTGCAAAATATTTAAAAGTAATTATGGATGATGGGCGGCAGGGGAAGGTTGAGGATGTGCTTAGCCGGCCAGAGATGCGAGGGATTTGCCCGAGAGCTTGCGCACCTTGAGGCCGTTCTCGCGGGAGGGGCGACGATTGCGTGCCAGATTGTTGGCATTCTCCAGATCCTTGGCAGCCGAAGTGCCACTAAGCACCTTGCCGATCTCATCACGATGGGCGCCATTGGGCAGGGTGTAACTGATCAAAGAAAAGGTTTTCATATTAGTAATTCAAAGGGGAGTCTAAAGCAAAGACAGAACTCACCCAAACTCATAGCCATCGGCGAGGGGTATGTATTTGAACTGCTCCACGGTAGTTTCGCCCAACTTGATGTCCAGCACAGTGCCGGGTGCAAAGGAGGCGCTGTTGATGTTGGCGCCCAGCAGAATGCAGGCCAGCAGCAGGATAAATCCATGCACCAACTTGCTGTTGATGTTGAGAGCCTCCTTCCCACCGCTGCTGTTGCTAGTGCCAGCCAAAAGAAATAGGTTCATCATCTTCACGGCTATTGTTAAAAGTTATCCACCGAAGACCAACCCAACTGAAGACCAACGCGGCTGACAGTCAAATGAAGCGTGTCTTCGTCGAGGTTACAGCCGCGAGACTCATCTGTAAGCAACGTAAATGTTTGGACCCACTCTGGGGGAACTGCTGAGTAAGCCTAAGGTGGTTGCCCAATCCCTTGTCTCTAATTTCGTTTGCATAATAAATCAGAAAAGAGTTCCACACACAAGCAACTCTCGAAAATGTGCATTACATTTAAAATGCCATCCAACTGAAAAAGCAATCAAGCAACCGCACGAAAAGAAAGTTTTACCAGATTAAGACAACGAAAATTGTATGCTCTAACATTAAACCAGGAGATGGAATTACAAGAGTATAAATAAAATAAAATAAAAAATAAATAAATCTTGAAAATAAACTTAAAATCTATCTAAAACCTTTTTTGAAACGTTTCCTAAAGTCTCAATAGCCTCATCAATGGTTAGGGCATCCCTCATTAATATGCTGATGTAGCAATCTCTGTCTATAGCTCATAGATTAACGATCAGCGATCGAAAGCTTCGACTAGCCATGACAGGCACCAGATTAAAGAAAGAGCTTTCAGGCCACGCTTTGAATACACTGTTAAAAATTCGGTTTATTTATCGTCTATCACAACACAAGAGAAATCTATTTGTATTCAAATCTTATCCATTTTGATCTTGTGCGCCGTTACATAGGGCTGGAAGCCATTCTTGTTGGCCTTGTAGAGCACCTGATACTCGTAGCCATCCGCTGAGATGAAGCTGTAGCCGCCACGATACTCCACGGGCTTGTTGGTGCCCTTCTCCCTATCAGCACGATCCGTGTCCGGTCTGACAGTGTAGGTTATGTCCTCGCTCCGCTGATGTCCATTTTCAGTGTGAAAACTTGTGGGAAAATATTTATCTATGATGCATACGAGCAGATCTTATGGGACTTACTTGAAGTGCAAAGCCTCCTCACGCTCACCCTTCTCCAGCGCCGCTGACCAGACCAAAGCCGGCAGCAAAATCACACAAAAAATTTGCATAAACTAAACATCGAAAATATCAAAAGTTAATCAACAGTTAACGATGCTAAACGCTCCACTTGTATGTATACCAACCAAATTCATTGCACTTTTATTGGTTTAAAATTATTTTAGCTTAGAACTTTCTGTTTCTCCTTGTCGTTCGCTTCGTGTTTTAACTTCAACTGATGAGGAGCAGCTGAAACACAACTGAACACAGCCACTGAGATGAGCACAGCAGCCAAAATAAGTCAAATAAAAACAAATAAGAATCTGCGTAGCCCGAAGCCAGAGTCGGATTACGTCATTATTTATGTCTCAGCTTTTGTTCTAAGCTAAAGAAAAAGAAAGGCCAGAGTCGAAGATACTCTGCCGGAGAGTAAGATTCGTACTCTTGTTTAATCTAAGGGAAAACCCAGATATTATTTTAGCTTTTGATGGAGATACGCACCGAACAGTTGCAGAGATTCCCGCGCTACAAATTGAGGCTGTCAGCGAGGGCCAGTGGCCAATTTATCAACGGGCTTCATCTAAATGTTTATTTAGAAGAACTTAATCGTGCCAACCCTCGGACAAAAACAACATACAGCCAGAGCCACAGCCTCGCATAATGAAATGATGAAAAAATTGCAATCAGATCGTTTCCGCTCTGTCAGAATTCGCCTTATGAACGCTCGGGATGCTCGACGAATGTGAATGTGAATGTGAATGCGAATGCGGGCGTGGAATATGCGCAATCGGTGCGTAGCGAAGCATTCACCGAGCACCCAAGGACCGACTATTGTTGGTTTATGCAGCCGGTGCAGCTCTTCTGGTTCTCCTGGATGGTGGTTGCTTGGTGGCTACATGGTACGTTCCACATGCCACGGGCCAACACAGCTGACGCCAGTCGCTCTACTCTACTATGGACAGGTTCACAAAATCCACACACTCTCGGTCGCTGGGTCGGTCGGTCCATGGGAGCGCGTCAGCTGTGCGCCAGCACATTACAAGTAGGACAAGCTGCAAACGACATTGCCATTAGCCATGCTCTGCTCTTGCCCTGCCATGGACTATGGGGGAGGGTTCAATATTAGCGGCATCCACGACACAGGCACAAGCTGAGCTACCAAATGATAAACACACACAACAGCAACCAAAGACTGCTCGGCACAGTGGTGCGCAGGAAATGAAATGGATGGGAAAACCCTAAACCTTTTGGGGTAACCATTTCCTATGCCAGTTTGTCCACTGTGCACGAGTGCTGGCAAAAAGTTAATAGACGATTGACTAAAGCCGACATCCCTGTCGCTGTTGTCTCGGTTGTTGTACCGGGTCCAGGGCTTAGCACCCCCTTGGCAACAGGCAAAGTGCATTAGGCTAAAAAGGATCATGAAGGGGGGGTTGGACGTGGACTCAGCCCTGCCCTGTCCTGTACCGGGTTGGTCATGCAGGTGTTGCCTGATCCTGTTGAAAATTGCTTTTTTTTTTTTTTTTTTTTTTTTTTTTTTTTTTTTTTTTTTTTTTTTTTTTTTTTTTTTTTTTTTTTTTTTTTTTTTTTTTTTTTTTTTTTTTTTTTTTTTTTTCTCTCTCTTTATATTTACAATCTGTTTTTAAACAATAAGTAAATTGTATAATTAATATT